TCCGGCGAAATCCCCTGCCGGATCCTGGCAGATTTGAGTGGGAATCATGCCGTCTTCTGGTGTTATCCGGTGCCGGTTCCGACGGATCCCGACTGAATCCGGAGGCAGGATGGAGTGACTTGGGTCTCTAAGTACCAATGATATCATTATCAAGCAATTTAACGAAGACCGCATGCATATAAAAAAAGTTACACAAGCGCACAGATAACGCGGGTAATTTCTCTTTGCATTCAACACCCGAAGTTGAAAAAATTATTTGTGATCAGGTAAGTTCTTTATGTAAAATTAAGGTAATAATACTGTTATTTTTTATAGATCGGCATTCAGTTATTGACTCGCGACTATAATGAAGTTCAAAAAGGTAAGGATATATGTGGCAGAGTGTGTGGCGTGGTTAAAGCAAGAATACTTTCCTGAATCTCGAATAGAAATTATTTACTCAGCGCCAACGATATAAAGGTGGGTATCGAGTACGCCGAAGGAATCAAAAATACTAAAACAGCAGTGGCGAAATTATATCAGGGATAGGTAAGTAGTAATGAACTACAAAAACTGGTGTCATTTAATCTTGATTCTTTTTCATTTTTAAGGCTGTTTGGGAAAGACTAATGTGCCAAATAATTATTTCAACTATAAGATCTATTGAATACAACGCAAAATACATGAAAGTGTTCAAGGCTTCGAACATTGGCGAAGGTGTTTCAGTGCCTTACAAAAATATTGATTTCTCCACAAATATGCGACTGGCTAGTGCTTTCACCGTTCCAATCAAAGACGAAGATCACGCCATTATGCCTAAGAAGTAAAATAATATCTTTCTACTATGTTTACATATTATCTGGATTTAGGAGAAGTGATCGTGAACATCACCACTTTTTCATGTGCCTTTAAGTGGTTGCACTTCAACATTTGAATCCAGTGCAGACTTCGACGCGCACATTTCAGCCAATCTACATAAAGCTCCACCATCAAATCCGCGAACATCTAATGGCATCGCTCGACTGCATTTGATTGAAGCAGTACGATCCATCAATACTCAAATCCATCGAAATAAGGAAAAAAATGTGTGGGCATCGGCTTTAGGTCATTCAGCACAAATCGTAGTCCAAGACACTGGTGCAACAGCTCGACTCTATGATGCTGGTGAATCATGTCGACCGGTAAGTTATGCTCTTGTCTTCTTCCACAAATTCATGAGAATTTTGGGACCAATATCTCTTCGGAGGTGGATGACTTTGAGGCAAAAACAGAGCTGACAGATCGATTTTAATCTTTTACTACTTTTATTTTATTTATCTAGGAAACCTGTAGTATTGCTTGCACACGCCGTGGTCGAGTCCATGCACATCTAAAAGAATGCCCAGGACTGAGCACTTGCCCAGCTAAAATGTATCCCTATGTCCGACATTCAGATGAAACTTGGGAACCGTATCCGACGAAAAAATTTGATCTTTGGTTATGCCAAAATTATTGGCATTCACTTGATTGGGAGCAACCACTTGATTTAAGCGACAAGACTGCACGAGACGCAGTTCAGTTAATTAGTAAATGTTCATTTGTGTGTGCACATTCAAATGGACATCTCGGTGAGGTAGAACATCGTTTTTGCTCAAAAGAGGCATGGCACACCGATCAGCATGCATTCGATTGTAAACATCCGGTGGTCTCGAAATTAGATATTGTTTTCGTTTGTGATACAACTGGTTCAATGGGGGGATATATGAATGAAATCAAAACGAATACGTGTCAACGCATTATGAATACAGCAACGAAAGTTGTCAACGATGTTCAGTTTCGTTTTGTTGCCTATCGAGATCATCCGCCGCAAGATTCAACATATGTCATCAAAACGAGCAATGCTGCAGGTGAATTCTGCAATGCAACCCAATTACAGGCTTTTGTGGCTACACTTGATGCAAGCGGTGGAGGCGATGGCCCTGAGGTACGGACATTTTTTTTCTAACTTTGAATAAATTTAACACTTTTTGTAAGAAAGCTAAAGGTGATTAGCTTCTATATTTAGTCTGTTCTTGATGGTCTATGGGACGCTGGGGTGACATCCAAATGGCGCGACACCGATACATTGAAGTATGTTATTCATATTGCTGATGCACCACCACACGGCCGTTTATATACAAATGGTTCTGGTGATGGGTTTCCTGAGGGTTGTCCTTGTGGTATCACAATTGAGCGAATAGCTACGGTGCTGAATAAAAAAGAAATTCGATATAAACCGATGAAAATCGGTTCGGGTGTTAACACAATGGCTACTATTTTTCGAAAACATATTACACAATATGAGGAGAGTGATTTGAGTGGAACACTTGATTTGACAAACAAGTTTGTCGGCATCTTGGCCCGTGATCTTCAAGTGAAAGAAATGGATGTGCACGAGATAAAATAGGCTTGATTAATTTCTCTTTGCGTACTACTAACACTGACTTGCATTTTTGATTGTCCAAATAAAAAGCGGATATATTTTAATCCTTAAATTATCTACAGTAGTGGCCTAACCATCCATGTAAAAAATTCTCAGTCTAAGCTATTTTTGGGTGTGTTAAACACTCAATAATTTGTAAGATTCAAAGCATAACACGACGTTTCGATCTTGCTTAAAGATCTCATTAGGCATCTCTAGAATTCCAAGGCTACATGGTAAACAATAATAAAATCAAAAAAGACCCAGCATTCATAAATTAAAATCAATCTCGTATAAGGGTCAAAAAAGATACTCGACAATCAATTGAAATTTTAAAGTCGATTGGGGTACAATTTTAGACTCAAGCATTATTACTGTTCGTATCGTAGTATGATTTAAATGGGTGTGTTAAAAACTCAATAATTTGAAATATTCAAAGCAGAACACAACGTTTCGATCTTGCTTAAGGATCTCATCACGTATGGGTGTGGGTGTGAATGTGGGTAAAGAGAGGAATGACACCCACACCCCGCATCCTTACCTTGTTAATTCTCTATGTATGAAAATCACACCGTAACACCCACATCCTAAATCGTGCCATTGAAGGAAGCATGTTTAATATAATTGACTTTGAACGTTGATACTATGTGAATGTATGTCGTATTCGACACAATGACACGTTCTCTCGACAGCATGTGATACACGTAGAGAGAAATAGTTTTCTCCAACACGGTTACAATATTTAAAAAATAGGCGTAGCATGTAAGAGACAATTCAAAGGGGTCTCTTCACTCTGAAAAAATAGGCCTTCTATGAGACCTGTCGAAAGGTTTCGTAAACTTGAGATAGTTTCAAGATGCATGCAAAATGCTTAAAAACCGAATTTTCAATTCTATCGAACTGTTTGTGGAAAAATCGTTTTTTTGATTACGAATCTTAATAAAATGTTTCGCATTTTCTTACAAAATCTTTTTTAGATTTCGTAGCAAAAACAAAAGGTTCTTCAAGTGGATACATTGGAAGCATCTTTAAAGGTTCTGCAAAATTGAAGGTTGGTTTTTTACGCATTCGGTTGCGTTTCGAAACGTTTTTGAAGTCTATGTACACTGAAAAAAAAAAGGTACTTTACCGAACCTAAAAAGGTTTCGAATTTTGAAACGAATGCTAAACCTTTTTACGATACTGTACCGAACTTTAAAGGTTTCGTAAAGTCACACGAAACTATGTTCAGGTTTTTACCAAAATTGAAAAGGTTTCGTGTGACTTTACGAAACCTTCAAAGTTCGGTACAGTATCGTAAAAAGGTTTAGAATTCGTTTCAAAATTCGAAACCTTTTTAGGTTCGGTAAAGTAACTTGTTTTTTCCCAGTGTAGTCTGTTGTGAGATCTCGTAAAAAAACTATTTTTATAGTGTCGAGACAGTCATAAAACGGGTTAATCTCAGTACCAATTGTATACGTATATTGATAATGAGAAACGTGCGTGTTTGGAGTTCTTTCATGGACTCCTAAGAACCTGAAGGTTATCACAAACGTATTTCATCGAACTCCGAGTAATTTCTAAATACATTAACATACTTCGTGGAACTTGCGGCCAACTATGTTGCGTTCAAATCTTCCACTAGTGCCGCTTCGTTAAAGAGGGTTTCATGATGGGAGAGTTCCTGGATAAGTTTCGAGCTATAGATAATTACCGAGCTAGGCATGCACCGAACTCGAATGCAGACCTGAAATCTCGGACTCGATATTCCCGAGTTCGGTGTTTCCGCGGTTCGGTCATTCCCAGTATTTGACATATTGGATTTAGTTATTTATTTATTTTTGTCATTTCTCGACACTTGAAAAGCCAAGAACACACCTGGAGTACCGAGTTCGAACTTCCCAGAATTTCGTCATTGCTGAGTTCGGCCATAAGCAGCTTTTGTCGATGACTCCTGCCAACCAAAGTACATGAATCAATAAATGTAGTGTTTTAGGTACCGGGAATGGCCGAGTATCGGGAATAACAAATTCAGAAACGACCGAATCCGAGAATTTCTGGCTCGATGTATCCCTATACCGAGTCTCAAGCATTAGTTTATTCGATATTACTTACAATATATTCAGGTTCGCCATTATCATTCAGTATGCTTGAAAATGTGTCTGACACTGACAATTCCTTTCTGACGGTTTGGTCGGCTTCTGCACTTGAACTGATTTTCTCGTTGAAGAATGTCACTCCCCCTCTTGTTGTATAATTCCAGATGAATAAATTCGTATTCGTTCTTGCAATAATTGCATCGGTTAACAACATCAATGAAGCATTTGTACTTCTTTACAACACAGAGAATAGTATTGGCATGGAGGAATTTAATTGCATCTATCTCATAAAAAATTCCACCATTAAATATTGCATACGACACGGACAAAGACTACCAAAATCTGAAGAATTTAGTAATTGTTCAAATGGAGAACAGTGGAAATTCTCGGAGCTTCTTGATGAAGAAATTTCACCTTCACAGATTCTCACATGGAGCTCAAGTGTAGAAAAAACGGATGATTATGCTCGAATATTTTACAATCGGTCCGAAAATTTCAATAAAGATGCTTACTTGTGCAATTGTACACAACCAGGTTCATTTGGTAAGAATTGCGAATACGAGCTTATTTTCGACGAATTACTATTCAGCGAGGCAATACAAAGCGCCCACGAAGCGAAAAATATCACCCAGGGCCACCAATTATGGGGAGATATCTTGTGCTATGAAACTTTGAAATGCGATTATGGCATGCTATGTCTTGACTGGAGAAATATTTGTGATGGACAGCAGAATTGTATGGAAGGAATTGATGAAGAAAATTGTGACAAACTAGAGTTCAACGAATGTGGGGAAGACGAATATCGCTGCGTCAATGGAATGTGCATTCCAGAAGAGTACTGGCTTGACGGTAATTCAAATAAGTATCACACCCTTTTGAGAAACACGAACTGAAAAGAGTTTTGAAGTGTATAAAAGCAGGGATTTGGATGCCCCCTCCGTCGCAGACCATGGTACACGAACTTGAGAAGCATCACAAACAATGAGAGACGAATCAAATAAAAGATTAGCGATTGTAGGACATATAAATCTCACGAAATATATTGACAGCGTCTTCATTGAGATTTTCGACTACTAACAATTGCGCGAGGCGATTGCAAAGGGATCTGCACTGAAAACGTTTTTGCATGTTTACACAACGGACAGTTCGTGTTTCATATATTTTAATCTCAAATGTATCGCACTAACAGTTTTTTCTTCAGCAAGTAGCTGAATCTTCCTTGTTTCGAATCAAATATCGAAGAAAATTGAATATTACTAAATGAGACATCCTGTACAATTGTGAAATTATGTAGAGATATCAATAATATTTATTCAAACGATCTTTGCCACCGCCTTTTAAAGAAATAATCGAGTACCTTTTAATCCAGTCTGAGGCACTCATTCACACCGCAACGATTTCAGCGACGTTGGAACTTTGAAAAAGAAATTCTTTTTGTCGGAATGTCGGTGACATACTCCCTTAGTTTGGAAGCTTATCCATCTGTATTAGCTATGTGTTACAAGTCACAGTAAAAATTTCAAGCCAAAAGAATAGACAGCTGTCCAAATACAGATCAATGGCTCAGAGTGGGCTAAGCAATACTTGATTTTTTTGCTAGGGCACCCAGTAAGAATCGAGTACTTCGCCGAATTAAAAATATCATTTTCGATCAATATGCACAAATATATTCATCAAAACTTTTCGGAGAACTACTTCACGACGTACCAATGAAGGTTCATTTAGAAAACAATTCCAAAACATTAATATACGTCATGACGACACACAGTGTATCTGTATTATAGAATAAGTATTGATGGTACCTTTTGCACCTCGTTTGTATTCATATATTCATGCCAAGTACTTTATTAACATGACTATATTGAGATAATTAAGCTAACATAAATTATGAAAAACGGTGTTTTTCATAACATTAGTCCTTGTTTTAGAAATAGGAAGGGAAGAACCCGCTCTTTCACTCATGTGCTTGAAACTCTATAAATCATTTTGAAATAGGCCAACCTGATTGTATGGATGGAAGTGATGAGATGCCGGACGACGGACTTTCGACTAAGTGCGCTCTGACACCGTTGGTCATCGACTGTGATGATCGTATATGCCCATTACACTCATGGTCTTGTGGGGATGGCCAATGTATTTTATCTTTCTACCGCCATATCTACCAGAGTTTTTATCCCACTGGTGGTACATATTGCTACAGTATGCGAGAGTTCAATCACATGTGCGAAACAGCCGTCGGTAAATCATTGTGGACGAAGCCAAATGGAATGTGCGCTGAATTTGGCTATAAAGACGACTCCATAGCAGATCTTTCTGGCTACAATAAGTGTATTTATCTGACTCGGTGCGCTCTCTCAAGTGGGGCCGAAGTAGAATGTCCATGTAACGGTATAAACTGCACTGTATTATTATCAATCAATTGTATGGAATTTGAACTATTGTTTTATCCAAGAAAAGGTATTATTCGACCAACAATACATCATGCGTACATTCGGAATCGGAATTGGAGCTATACGGAGCCGGACGGGCACGTACTTATTGGAATCCTTCAATGTCGAAGACTGCTCATTCCTATATCGTTTGACGATAACGTAGCATTTGAATATGACCAGACCTTTATAACCTTGCCACAAACGGATGCGCTTTTGTGCTATAGTGTTATACGTATGGGTTTGGTTCTCGAATCGGAAACAAAGCAGCTGGAAACATGTTGGAATGATTCGTTTACGTTCAATGGTCGGCCATATGCTTTTTATAATATTTGTCATCCACCAGATCGATGCATCTCTCAGTATCGCATTCGCGATGGGCAGTTCGACTGCTATGGAATGGCCGATGAAAATTTAACAGAATTTAAACATACAAATCACTGTTATAACATCCAAAAGCACCGATTGCAGTGTTCAACGGAGGAGACGACATGCTTACCGGCTTCAGCACTTGGTCAGATTGGTACTGGAAATCCAAATTGTGAAAACAGCTATGACAAATTAATTCATGGAAACGGTTCGGTGCTTACTTCAATATCCTGCACAATATATGAGGAGAATAGTGAATGCCATCAGCTTAGATACTATATTGGCAACTCATCCATTCCTAATTCTTCATTTGTATATACCCAAGATGAAAGCAATGCTCAGTATTACTCAACAGCACTACCTTTTCGAGGATATTGTGACAGTTTTTGGCATGATCACGTGACACATTATGATGAAAATTCTACATTATGTCAACAATGGGTCTGTAAAGAGCATCAGTTTCAATGTCGAACGGGTCAATGCATCGAATTAAACTGGGTGTGCGATGGTGAATGGGACTGTTCAGATGCAAGCGATGAATTCGGCATCTTCGGCAACTGGTCCGACCACAATGAACGTTTATTGGCTTTGAATGACCGCAAAATGATATGTCTCGCTCAATACAAGACACTCCCGTTTTTCGACTTTTGCGACTTTGATTATGAATATCCTTGTTATCGGGCATCTGTTCCTCGTCCGCTCGATATTTACACATATCGACCGTGCATAAATTTGACTCAGATTGGTGATGGTATTGAAGACTGCTACGGAGGCTTGGACGAAAAGAACACATTTCAGGATTGCCAAGAACAAATGCTTGGATATACTCTCAAATGTGATAGTCAATGTGTAAACTACTTGCAAGCATGCGTTATACCGATTTGTGAAATGTCAGTTCTGTGCTCATACAGAAATAATACCTCGGGATTTTGTTCGAAACCGAACGATGTAGTTTGTCTCAATGGCACTTGCGCAAAGAACGCTCGATGTGACAAAAAGCATCAGTGTTCACACGGTGAAGATGAGCATTGGTGCATGCCGTCTGGTTCTCTAACAGACAGCTTTATCTATCGATACCGTAAACAACAGTATCGATGGCGGAGCGCTTCGATAGCAGATATACCAAACTTTCCAAAAGGAAACATTCGGCCAATTCCAAAGACTACGAAAGGAGATCTTTTGAAAAGTACTCCATCGTTGTTATCAACACGAAACCATTTGAGAAAGGATAGAAGAATGAACCCGAGGGATGTATCATCCAAGAATGTAGAACCGCAACTTGACTGGCGAAGGTACACCTGTAATCAGGGTTTTCCCATATATCTCTCTTCCAAAAATGAAACTCACTGTATTTGTCCACCAACATATTATGGATATAAATGTCAATTTTTCTCCGATCGCTTGTCCGTTGTCACTCATCTTGATTTAACCGAATTTTGGAATCTGAATGAAACGAGGTTATTAACCGTTGTTGTTACCCTACATTTTTTAGAAACTATCGAGGATCACTACATGTTTCATGTCACGCCTATCTTTACAACCACTAAATATGTCAAACAACGTTTTTTCTTGTTGTATTCAAGATCTAATGACTCTATTAAGCATAAAAAGTGGCGATATTTTAATCGTACAGATATTATTAATCAACATCCTTACTCGATTCAATTTACCATATATTCACTTTCCGACAAGCGAATCAATGAATTGGGTTCATTTCATTATCCTATTTATTTCGACTTTCTTCCGGCTTTCCGTTTTTCCGTTGTTCCAAAGTTTCCTAAGTGGTTCGGTAATTCAACAGCTGATCCGTGCAGTAACAGTTCCTGCAATTCAAATTCCTTGTGTAAGCCGCTCCTTAACCAGAACACAACCATGTTCTACTGCTCATGCAAATCTGGATATAGTGGCAAAAACTGCGAACAATATGATGCGAAATGCTCATCTTACTGCCACAACAACTCAGTTTGTCTGTCAAACAGTAGAGGTTTGATCGGCAATCCCGACAACCCGTTATGCATTTGTCCATTCAGTCATTTCGGACCTCGCTGTTTTCTTCGAAGTGAAGCTTGTAACTCCAATCCATGCGGAGCGAATTCAACTTGTCATTTAACTTATGATCCGAGTGGAGAGAATTCGTTCTTTTGTGTATGCCCAAAAAACTTTTACGGAGATCGATGTCAGTACGAGAAAATGTCTATACATATTGTAGTGAACATGACAGACTCGGTCGCCGCAAGTCTTGTCCAATTTTATGATTACTTGTTGCCACGAATGATACTACATTTATACAATCAGCAAGTGTTTCGTGGTTTGCCAAAAACAGTTCGGTACATTCATGGACGAGAACAGATCCCTTTCATGTCCATTCTTAAAATTTATAAAGACATGACAAAACCCGCATATTTCATTCTTTATATTCAGCCTAACTCAACAACTATCGACAGAACATCAACGCCTGAGTGGTGCCCACATGCTACAGATTTACTTTCACCAAGTAAATATTCCAAAGGAAACGAGTTAGTAATTTATTAGATATGTATTCTCTTCTCTTTTCAGATAATATATCAAGTATATCAGCTGTTTTCAGTTATCATCATATTTGTCGGAACGACCCGAGTCGCATTTGCTTTTATGATTCAGATTACTTCTGCATTTGTCAAGAAGACTCCAAACGAGTGCACTGTTTCGGACACAATACGCTGGTAGACACCTGTGATTCTTGCATGTCAGGAGGGAAATGTATCAAAGGTGATCTGAAAAATCCAATTGATTTTGTTTGCCTTTGTCGCTCCTGCTACCAAGGTGAACTCTGCGAAATTAGCTTAGAAGCATTCGGCTTTACTATTGATACATTACTGGTATCTAATTCGGTGACCATTCAGTCTTTTTACATTGCACTAGCTCTCGTTGTATTTCTTTGTGGTCTGTTCACTAACTTTTGCTCGTTGGTAACGTTCAAGAGAGCACAACCCCGAAAGTTTGTTGTCGGCAACTATCTCTTCATTATCACAATTCTGAATCAATTGAGTTTGCTTTTTCTTCTCTTCAAATTCGTTCACGTTTTGTTAGGATCCGCAGGATATATGACGGAAGGATCTTGCAAAATAATAAGCTTCCTTTTGTCTGTATTTACTCGCTCCACATACTGGTTAACAACTTGGATTACAATCAGTCGTCTTCACATGACTTTGATTACGACTTCGACTATCTCGAAGAATCCTCGTGTAGCAATTAATTCCAGTATTATAACCTTACTCATTCATTTAGTCATGCACATACACGAATTAGTCTACTATCGCACAGTTCAAGGTCCACATTCGTCTGCTGTTCTATGTATAACTGACTTTCATACGAATATTGTAGATACTTACAACAGGACCATGACATTCATTCACCACATGGCCCCCTTCTGTGTTCAAATAGTTACTATAACACTTCTGATAGCTTTTACTGCTCGTCGTCGCAGTAAGACGACAGGCAAAAGAATGACATTCACACGACAATTAATCAAGCAATTTTCTACTCAGAAGGAACTCTATACAATGCCAACAATCATCATCCTCTCAGCTCTACCACAGATCATTCTTACATTTTCTTTAGCTTGCACTGAACTGAATGGTCTTAAACAACATGCGCTTCTTGTTGCATACCTTCTTTCATTTGCGCCTCAACTACTTGGTTTCGTTCTCTACGTTCTCCCATCAAGTGCATACAAAAAAGAATTCAGTGAAACGAAAATAGGAAAGAGTTTTATCAAATGGATGTAGAAGGTCACTGGAAAACAGACTGGCCTATCTCTTAACGAAGAGACAAGTTCAATCTGTTAGTCTTAGCCTTTCCTTTTCAGCAACCGACTTTTGTGTGAAAAATTAACGATAATTAATGTATTCAAATAAAAATTAATTAAAATAAATGCAGAGTTTGATGTCGCCGACGAGTTGCACGTATTTATTTAATAATATGAAATACTCATCCGAGCTTTGCATTACGATAAAATCACAACATAAAAAACTAAAAACTACAAATAAATGAATAGTAAGATTGAGTGCATAGTACAAATAATAATAATAATTTTCAAGGAAATTTTTAACAATTTTCATGAATTCTACGTAAATACTCAAAAGAATCGATATCATAATGATTCAAGTAGCTTTTTTGATCTGAATATTAGTAGCCCAGATCAAATATGCACGGTGGAAAACAGTCTTATCCGGTGATTTTCCATCGAATTCCGGAAGCAGTGTTCCTAAACGTTTTCCGATCTCCGTTTCCAGGGTATTTCCCGCTAACTCCTGGTTCCGGAACCGATAAGCGGATACGGTTTCCGTTTACAACAGGATTCCGTACTGCGTTTCCGATGGTTTCCATTTACTGCAGGATTCCGGAGTACTTTTCCGATCGTTTCCTTTTGACGATCGGAAACGAAGAAATATGAATAGTTTCCGATCTAGATACGTAGCCAGGATATGGCCATTTTTAAACCAGGTATGGAGTCCGGATTCCGCCGTTCGAACAACCGGATCCGTTGAATAACAGCTATGCGATGTTTCTTTTTTCTAATTTAAAAAAAATTTATGAATTTCAAGGATAAATATGTATTTCCTATTTGAAGTACGAATCTGCAGAGTTTCTGCTTAGAGTTGGATTGAAACTGACTTTCCAAAAGCCATCACAAAAATCGAGTAAAAAATATTTTAAGATTGAAATCAACAGATGAAGGAATCTAACTCAATCTTATTGCCGATTCTGTCACACAGAATCTTTCCGATATATTGTTCATCTAGTTAATTTTGATTAATATTCCATACATGATGTATCAACAATTACTTTTGGCAACAATCCTATTAAAATTCGATTACCACCAACGAACACAAATAGCATGATCATAGTTTAATTGGTCATATTTTCGTATGTGTTTACTCTATCAGCTACTAAGATGGTCCCTAAAGAAGTCCAAAATTCACAAGGTAGACTTTTTCTTTCAACTCTGATCACAATTCTGATGAAACTTTCCTATAGCTTATCGGAGTCGCTGAGTCCAAAAATGTTATCAGTTTTTCCCTCTGAGCTTTTATGGCTGAGAAAATCGGTCTATCTAGAGTTCAAAATTCACAGGATAGGCTTTTTATTTCAACTCGGAGCTCAATTCATCAATATTAATAGTCTATATGTCTCAAATGCACTTTAAACTGGTATTCCAAAGTATAATCACTAACACTTCAAGGGAGTGCATGACGTAAATGAATTATAAAGTAATTCAAAATTCAATCAAGCCTTCGCCTATTCTAACTATATTTACCAGGGTCTACATGTATCTACCAGGGTCTAGAAGGTCTACCAGTATCTACGAGGGTGTAGGTGTGGTTGTGAATGAGAATGTCCTCTTCATGCCTAGCACCCAATCCTCACGATATTCGTAGACGAGTGCATGACAAATCTTAGTGATAGTATCATTTGGATTTTCCAAAAAAAACTGTCACCTATCCACATATAGATAGATAGATAGATAGGTAGATAGATAGATAGATAGATAGATAAATAGATAAATGGGTAGATCGAAGGGTCACGGTAATGATCACGGTCACGGTAGGTATCTGTGAGGGGACGGTTTTCAATCATGGTAACTGGTTGATTTTCAGCCTTTCATGGCACCCACAGTTGAGATGTTATGTATGTGTGCAGACGTTGTTTTAAGCCTTTCGTGGCACCCACACCCACACCCTTTGGTAAATAGCTGTAGGCCCTGGTAGATATCTGTATAAATTTAGTTTTAGCTCTGAATTATATTGTAATTCATTTGCGTCACCCAGTGCTTCAAGGTAGAGTCATTGAAAGCTCTTTCTCGCGTAATATCTCTTATCTGAGATATTGAACGATCTCATTCATACCGTTTGAAATCGAAATGTCTGGAAATTTGCACGAAGTGAATATTTTCGATTTGAAGTATTTGAAAGTGTCTCTCGCTGGCTTCTGCCTAGAAAAGTCACTGGAAATCTTTCTGAGTTCATACTACTTGTTGGAATTTTTTATTAACTCCTCTTTTTTTGTGTTTCAATCAGATGGATCACTAAAGATATTCCGCATTTTATCATTTCGATTTCACATATTTGAATGTCTGCTTTATTGCATTTCTTCAAAAAGAATAATCAAAAATCCGTCATGTATAATACCGCTCATTTCAGATAAATTGTAGTCTCCTCCCTCCAAATCTATTAGGGAAGACGCTAAAACATCTTTCTGAGTCAGCAGCTTCCATTTGAGGTACTTGAAAGTACCATTTCTTGCACCTTGTCTAGAAGGATCCTTGAAGAGCCTCATCCAAGAATACCAATTATGTCAAGCATTTTGAACACTCACTCGTTGCAATTTACGCCGAAAGTACTGTAAATCTCGTTTTATTTGAGAAAAAATCAAGGACTCTTCGAAATACTTGAAATACGCTGTTCGATGAAAAGGATTTTGAAGGATCCTTTTCGATAAAAGTGAATGAATGCTGGTTTCACATACCTCAAATGGAAGGTAATGAATTAAAAAGACCTTTAAGCGTCTTCCCCGTTGATTTCGAGGAAGAAGTCTTCAGTGGTGAGCTCTGGATCGCTTCGGATGTCGTATGGTTGAGTGGATGATGGTGAAGCGGTGCGGCAGGGTATTTACATTGGTGAAGGTGGCTAGTAATTTAGTTAGTTGGTGATGCGACTGTCATGATGAGTATGTGTGGTGGTGTCAGGAAATATTCGCGAGATCTCAAGAAGATTGGAACTCCCGTAGTTTTCCCAGGTGGAAACGATCGGATTTTGTTAGTTCCGTATAGTGTTCCGATAGTATTTCGTGTGATCACGGATCGGTTCCGGTAATTTTTCCTAATGATTATGGCGGCGGGAATAGTGCGGAATACTCCGGTTACAATACGGTGATTTCCAAACGAAATACTGCTGCCAACTTTCGGATAGTTTTCCGGTCCGTTTCCGGTTGGAATGCCGTTGGAAATCACCGGAAGTAGCGGGAAATAACACCGTGTCCCGTCGGTTTCGGAGTCCGGAATCATCGACCTGGGAGTAGCATATTGAATTCATCATTTTGTTGAAAAATCAGCTCTGGGTTTAGGTGTGGGTGTGATTTCCATTTACTTTCACACCCTGGCATCCTCATTTTCCATTAGCCAGGAAATTCTCTTACGACATACTTTTATTATTTTAAATGGAATAAAAGTCGAGCGAACAGAAACCACGAATGAACTGAACGACGAGCAAGTCGAAAAAACCATTCAAAGTGTTGATACACAGACTGAACAAGCGATAAAGTGGAATAATGAAACACCAAACGATACTGGTTCGATTCGAATCATCAAAGACGATAAGAAAAGATTGCGCGTTTGATTTTCTTTATAATTATAATTTTGTTTTTGGAGATTTCATACTAATCACTTTATTCTTGAACTCATTTCAATTTCAATAAAAAACAGCTTATTTTAAAATGTGAAGATCTAAGTTCGCATATCAAGCAAACTGCAACGCGTTTCATCCTTACTAAATGGATTCCATGTATCTAGCTACTATCTAGTGTATGTTATCATGCGAATATAGTGCGTGATACGATTTCTCAGGAGTCGAAAGAGGAATTTTAAAGTTGATTAATACACTTAAGATGTTTTAGAGGACGGATGGGATTCAACGAGGATAACAAATTTATCACTATGCCAGAGATCAAGAGAACGAAAGATTGATGTATATGGAGAACGTTGGTGCCTGTCTTCATGTAATAGTCGAGTTGAAGTTTAAAAAAGAAAACATTTTTATATCATCGATTTCAATGGGCATAAGTCGATCAAGGGAGATCACATATATCCATCAGGGAACATCATTTGAGATTATATAGGAATTATTCAGTCTCTTCTTACAGTTTTATCAAATGAAATTCTTTCCTTTTTAATTAATAAATATCTAGATTTAGCTGTTTCTTTTTGTTATTCAACAAAATTCATCATTTCAAAGAACATGTGATATCCCAATAGAAAAAAAATCGATGTATCTATTCTTTGCGAATCATCGATAAGTTTTTTCAAGCAGAAAAATATAATTTTTTAAAGAAAGAGGTATTTAGGAATACTCTCAAATGATCAAGAATTGTAGTCAACTTGTGTTTGAATTCTATTTAAATTGTTTCTTAAAGCATACAGTGAAGAAAAGTGAAGGACAGTAACTGATTTTTATCATAACCTTGAGGATGTGAGTATAATAAATATGAACACCCATACCCACACCCTCAAGTAAAGGTGAAGTAGGAGTTGGACAACATGAATTGAATATAAAATTTTGTGATATTTTTTCAATGACTGATCGACATGCAACATATAAGCAATGTTTAAAAGAGATAGCTGATCATTATCGATGATAACAACGTAGATTCAAATATCAATTTTAGTCAATTATTCAAACATTTTTTAGCTGGCTGGTTAAAATATGCTCCTGTTGTAATGGTATTCTATGCACCAACAATCAATAGTTATAAACGAATCCAAACTGATTTAGTTTCACCGTCACATGCAGTTCGATCCTTATTCGCTGGTTTATTCTAGAACATTTGTCCGAAGGTGTGGGAGTGTAGTATGCATAGTTTAAATAAAGAACTTAGTTTTATTAATACGACATCCTAGATGTTCACAGCAGCTTAAAAAAAAACTTCAAATTTACTAATGTAACCTATCATCTATTGTTCTTTCATTAAGTGATGCATTGCAATAGTATGGTGACATCTATATGCATACGGTTACCTATTGGTGAAGAAGTTGCCTTTCGAAACGGCTAATAGTACATTGATGCTTTCAAATGATCAATAATCTAGACGATAGTTTCGGATCTTGAGTCGTTAAATGTAAATTTACTTTAATACATGAGAATTTTTCTAGATTGAAATAGAAAAAATGTCCGCCGAAGAAAGTGAAGACGAAGATTTTACAATCTTTCCAAATCTGCTCGATGATAATTCACCATTGAAGAAAAAAAAAGATTTATATCGCCTACCAGAATGGATGTCTTCATTAGCCAAACGATTTGATAGCGGACAGATAACATCGGAAGCAACGACTTCTATCGATCAAATTGATTATCTTGACGAAGATATTCGATCGATATTAACTAAGGATCTTTCTATTCAACATCTATTTCCGGTGCAATCGCAAGTAATACCTTACTTAATTCAACAAAATCAATCCCATTCACCAATACCATTAGCTGATATTTGTGTGTCATCGCCGACCGGTAGTGGAAAAACGTTAACCTACGTTGTACCATTGTTACAATGTATTCGTAAACGTGTTATACGTGCTATTCGTATTGTTATACTTTTACCGGTACAAGATTTAGCTGAACAAGTTTTCAATGTTGTTCATCAAATGGGAAATAAATTACAATTGAAAACAGCGTTACTTGCTGGGCAACATTCATTTGAAGATGAACAAAAACTTTTAGTAAAGCAACAATTGAACGGAAGTAAGAAATATCTAATTAGTCAAGATAACTTTATTGGAACTATGATATTTTTAAAATTTATTTAGCTTGGACATCATCGATTGATGTTATTGTTTGTACACCTGGTCGACTTGTTGAACATATAAGTCGAACACCAGGGTTTTCTTTGACGCATCTTCGTTATCTTGTGATTGATGAAGCTGATCGAATCATTGACGAATTTAAACAAGACTGGTTGAATATTCTTGATCATGCTGTTGGTTTATCTAGTCAAATAAAAAATGATTTTCAACCATATATGCTTAGTGAACCATCGACGAGTCATAAAGCCTATCAAAAATTACTATTCTCAGCAACATTAACACATAATCCGGAAATTCTACAACAATTGAATTTGTTTCGTCCGGTACTTTTTTCATCGTTAGCAACATCGTCATCGATTATCATGCCATCGACATTACATGAAAATTTCATTGTGTGCTCAATAACATATAAACCGTTGATTGTTGCTTATCTCATTCAAAATCAACTACATTCCGAACGAATCATGATATTCGTTCATTCAAAAAAAGATGTAGATCGTCTAACTTCTTTACTACGAATACTTCTACCCGATGATATTAAAGTTAGTCATATATCAAGAAATTTACAATCGAATAAAATTCAAACACGCTTAGCGATGTTTGAAAATGGACAAATTCAAATTCTTGTTTGTTCAGATGTTGTTGCGTAAGTTTAATTTTCTAAATTGTATGAACTTTCAGGAGTTAGCAATAGGAAAAAGTAGCGACATGGTGTTTTTCATATAAATTCCTCTCGGATTGTACTAACAGCGATTTTGCACTTGTTTAGACACAAGTGGCACTTCTTATTGATGTGAGAAAGAAAGCATATTTCCGTAGTTTTAGTTTTTTTCAAATGCAGCGATCAATGATTTCACTATTTGAATATCTTATTTCGGTGTTTATTCTAGTCGTGGTATTGATATTCAGAATATTGATTGTGTTATTCTCTATGATTTACCGAAAAATATTCGTACATACACACATCGTATTGGTCGTACGGCTCGTGCTGGTAAATTGGGTCGTGCAATAACAATAGTTGAAAAAGAACGTTTGACGATGTTTCGTGGAACAATAAAACCCTATCGACGAAATAAACTTAAACATATGGATATTAAAAAGCAAGATTTTTCATACATGTTAGATGATTATCAAAAAGCTCTAGAAACATTCTCTAGTAAAGAACAAAAGAAAAAATTAAGACAAAAAAAATAAAATCTTGCTTTTGAAAATGTGTCATTTCTGATAAATTTCAGATATTGAATAAATATTCATACATGAAAAAAAGATCTTGATTTTACTTGAAATTGATTAAAATTCATCAAATCTTCTAATTTATTAACTAGACAGATTACTACTTCAGTTAAATGTTTTTGCCGTTTAATGAGTATCGTATTCTTCGATTAGTTTTAGATATAAATTTTGCACACTTCATTAATAAATTTTAGTCAAAATCAAAGAATGAGCTCAACGACTGGTATGAATTAAAATTACCATCAATTTCATATTCAATTTTCTCATTTTTAAGAAGCAACGGCATATGATCCATGTTCCGGATGCGAAATGCCATGTTCAAAACATGCTAGTTATCCACCGGAAATAGCTAAAGAAATCGATCAAGGTAAAATGGTTGGTTCTGTTGAAAAGCATCGTCGTCATTTATGTATTGGTCAATCTATTCCACCATCACAATGGCCATCGGACATTAAAGATCTACATGGCGACTATGTCGCAGAATTAACTCGAGTTTTAAAAGAAAAAAAAGATGGTATAGGCTATGCCGTTAAATTAACATCGGCATCGGTTGTTACAACAGCAACAACAACAGCAGATAATCCATCGCAAATAGCTGATTTGTACTTATTTCCTGATCAAATTAAAATAGCGAATGTTCACATTGAACAAATCGAACAAGTCGTTCAAACATTATTTGTCGAAGATCAATCGATTATCAGAATCAAAGACAAAGAAAAGACCATCGAAGAACAACTCAAAGAAAATAATAATCTACCTTCTTTTGATGACAATATTATTTGTGAAAGATTAGAAGGAGTCTGGCTACTGGTTTGTTGTCATTATCAACGAGATCAACGATGCGGTATGTTATAAGATCAACAATTTTCCCCCCTCCTACCTTTGGATAGTTTCTATTTAATCAATTGTTTCACATGAAATCAGTTAAAGAAAAATATGTTTGTCAAAACTCTTCGGTTTTCTGTTTGAATGATGACCTACCTGTTATTATACTTTTAGGCGTTATCGGACCAATGATAGTCGATGAAATAGAAAAATACGTTCGTGAAGCAGATCTTAGTGATAAGGTCCATTGGTTAAAAGTCAGTCATCTTGGTAAGTTATTATCATTGTAATTATCTAGTTTTTTTTTCTCTCTTTTACGTCTTCTAATAAGCATATGACTTATTTCTAGACAGAATCTAAAAATGATTACAAACTTTTTCTTATTTAGGTGGTCACAAATTTGCTGGTAATGTAATTGTTTATCCGTCGGGTACATGGTATGGGCGTGTTTTAACTTGTCATATTCCATTATTGATCGATGCATATACATCATCATCGGAAGAGTTGAAATCAAAACTACAACCTCTCTTTCGTGGCCACCTAGATACTGCTTGGTGAAGAAAAAGAAAAATTGAATGACATTCAATTTCCTTTGTAATCTTTGTCTTTGTGATATATATAGTGATTGCTTTTCCTAGTTTTTTCCCTAGTTATAAACAACAGTGATTACCGGCTATCAATGCACTTTTATTTATTTAAAGAAAGTATATTGATTGAACTGAAGTTTTTATCAAATGTTAATCGTCAAATTTCTTGTATGTTTAATGTCTTAATAAAAGCTACGATTAACATCACCTCAATGATTGACTTAAACCTGTTTCCAATCTTTTTTTCATGTTCTTTGTTTCCTTTTTGTGTGTTACTTGTTTGATTTTTGATCATTCAATATAAGAAAAGAAATTTCCTTTTGCTTTTCTTTGCCCTTCACATATATATAGAGAGAGAATTTTCTTTTGTTCTTATTCACCAAACTACCTAAATAAAGTCATCAATCAAAGCGAATGCATTTCATACTACTGTCTCGAATTTCACCGGATTTCCGGTTCGAATATCAAGAACAATAGTAGCTACATTGGTAACAATAATAGGCGCATAGTTAATGACGAATCTATATATATTTAAACGCTCATTTTATTGTTTTTCTTCCATCATTATAAAACCAGTGACCGTCATCTTCAAGAACCAACGGCAGAAAAAAAAGTTAATGTAAGAAACTATTTTTTATTAGCAAATCCGATTTCGAATGTTACTGAATTCTTGTAATCTGTAATCATTATTTTTTGTGTCATACGATCACGATTATTTATATATGCATATATTTCTTAAGTTTGTGCCTATTGGGATATCATCATATCGGAAAATAGTTAACAGAAACTAATCTCGAACACTTACAAATCTTCCAGGCGAAAGCAATCTATTTCAACATGTGGAATTCATTTTTTCTACGCTAAATCTGATGATCATTTTCTCTCTTTTCCTATATTTCTTTCCAAGATTAGTTTTACGAATGACTACAGATTAGCTTTTTCTTTTTCTGCCTAAACATTTACCATTCTCGCTAACTACATAAATACGCATATATAAATTATTGGAAATTCACATCTTACGCTGCTAATAAAATTATAATGATTGCCAATGCGCTGATTGAATGTGATAGCTTTGATCTGCAAGAGCATCGTCGATATAAAAATACCAAGTCAAATAACAAATCATTTGCTTGAATAGATTCGAAATAAAAAAGAAGAAGAAGAGAGAAAACATCACAACCTAGATTTATGCAACAGCTATCTTTTTGATCGATGATAAGCAATGATGCGCAATCAAGTTTTCTTCTTTTATCTTCTATTACCTTTATTAATTGATGGTAAGCAAGATTTGGATAGAATCGAGGAAGAAACACGTTTAATACGTGCACTTTTAAAAGAAAGAGATTATCTAAAAAAAGTTCGCCCATCACAAAAAGTCATCGTTGACTTTCGTCTTGTTTTCAACCAAATTATATCCATGGTGGAAAAGGAACAGATTATTGTTACCAATTGTTTTGTCGATCAAAAATGGACAGGTACTGTGAAATTAAATTTTCGAAGTTTTTTACTAAAATCAATTTTTAGATCTTCGGCTTATGTGGAATCCATTGGAATTTAATAATATTACTTGGATTCGAATGCCAGCTGTATATGTCTGGTAGCAAAAACAAATTATATTCTTTTTTTTTTCACATATGTTCATGCCATTTAGGTATCCAGATACATTTTTATACAATACAGCTGATAATGCTGGCTTTCTCCTTCCACACGATTCACAGAATGTGATTGTAAGTCACAATGGTACCATATTTTGGCCATTGCCGTTGGCACAATTACGTACTCGATGCCGAATGACTATTAGACACTTTCCTTTCGGTATGTCTACGAGCGATATTTATTTTCTGAAGAACATTTTTTTTTCGAACATTCAATGATACATAGCGTGACCGAGAAGAAATATTCATAGCAGTCGTGTTTAGATTTTCAATAACTTTTTTTGTTGTTGTTGTTGTTGACATTTTCGATTAGTTGTCATGCGATCGGGTCCTATTGAACGCTTTTAGAATCAATATTAATGTCTTTGTATTTCGTTAGATGAGCAAACCTGTGATATGATATTTGGTTCGTGGAGCCATACAAGTTCGTTAATACATTATCGATTTTGGGAAAAGAAACCTGAACTGCCACAATATTCACCCAATAATGAATGGAAATTATTAGCAGTTGCACAATCAATAAAAACAGTTGAATATCCGAATTGGGTCGAACCAGATACATTTTTTGAAATTAATTTTACAATTCTAATTGTACGAAAACCTTTACAAGCAATTTACAATACTGTTGTGCCGGCATTGATGCTAACGACATTAACGCTTGTGTCATTTTTTGTAAGTCAACTTTTGTTTTTCTTTTACAAAATATAATTTCGATATATTGTTTTTTTGTCCCTATAGATTCCCTTCGCACAAGAAATGCAAATAGGCATTAGTATTATGTTAGCTTATTCCGTATTTAGTTTACGTTTATCCGAAGATGTCCCATCGCAAAGTGACAGTGTCCATTTAATAAGCTTATATTTAACTATTTGCATGTTCTTCTCATTGTCGGCAATGACTTGGTTTGCTGTAGCAAATAAATTACGCGAAAAGAAACGTTTACCATATTGGCTTCGTTGGTTAGCTCTTGATTACATGTGTTGGATGGTATGTGCAACAAGTATGCATAGAAAAGCAACACACAATGCAAAACAACCATCGAAGACTTCAGCAGCACCGCCATCGATCCCCGTTATAATTCCGTTACGACCAATAGTGACAGCGAATTCAATGGAAAACTGTAATCATTCTTATTCACAACGAATGTTTTTACCCATCGCCGCTTCAGATAATTCTTTACTTCGTCCATCAACACCCTCGGTATGGATTCGGCGAACACTATCGAACACTGAAATAACAACATCGAACGGACCCGAAAATAGACAAATGAAATATTCATTTAGAGAAGGACCTCAATTAAAAAATTCTACATCATCGAAAAATCAGGAAAGTCTCTATGCTGTACATATTATTAATCGTTTCGTTTTCTTAATATTTCTGTTCATTGTTATCATAATTAATATCTACACATGGTTTTTCTATTCACGAACTGTTCAAACAAAATTATTCGATAATCAAACTATATGGACTTGTTTTGATGAAGATCGTCTTGAAGTTGTCAATTGTAATGAAGCATTGTAATAAAAACTATTTTCCTATGCGTTTTAGAAACACAGAAAACAAAGCTTTTGTTCGTCAGTGTCTTATTATCTGTCGCTTACAAATATTAAAATCTTTTACTGTTTTCTAAGTAAATTTGTCATCCTCATACAAAATGAAAAAAAAACAATAACAACATTTCTTTTCTAAGTAGGAGACAAGAGACCGCGAACTGCAAAACTACTTACGATGTAGTCAATAAAAGAAAAACCAAATCAAACAAGAAATAATTCGTTGATTACAACCGATAGAATTTTGTTTGGAGATTTATTTGCGTGATCAACATTCTTTTATGAATGAATTAACTAATATCTACCTGAGGTTTCTTTCTAACTCAATAATGCTATTACTCGAATCAGATTGTGTATTTGGTTGAAGTAAAAGAATGTGCTATTAGCATGTCACTCACGAAAAAACGACACTCAATCAAGTATTCATCGATTAAAATTTGAAAAGAAATATTTCAACAAAAAGAAAAGCTTAGTTTTTCCTTCTAAGTATCTGATAATGATTATATTTCTATTATTTATAAATGGTTGTTCGTGACAAACATTCATAAAGGAAAAGCGCACCTGAATATTTTATTCTTTTTCTGCTAAACAAGAAAATGCATAATAATTCGCAACTCGATTATGATTAAAAACTTCTTTTTCTTGTATTTGAATAGTGTCTATGCAGAGGAAAAAAAGTTTTTTTTTTCTAACCACAACTTCCCACTTTTGTTCTTCTCGCTGCACACAGCGTCTCTTTGTTGTTGTTGTTGTTGTTGTTGTTGTTGTCGTTGTTGTTGTTTTGTCTGATTTCAATAGTTTCGATGCAAACCGAATCAATTTTTTTATTGATCCAGTGAGAGGGTCGGTTGTAACGGAGAGAAAAAACAGAGCGAGAGAGACAGGCGGAGAAAAAATACTATAAGAATAGTAGAAGTAAGAAGAAAAAACCGAGAAACTGAGCAGCTAGAATTTTGTTCGTTTTTGAATTTGCTTTCGTCATTGGCATAAAAATATGATCAAATAGTAAATTTATATTTTTCGTTTCATTTCAGTTTCTATTCATCGGTGCTGCTTGTGCGAATTCGGAGGAGAAGAAAAAAAAATGAATGCTCAATTTCACAGAGAACAAGGAGGAATATCGGTTGATTATCAACGAGTTGGGAGCTCAAGTAATGCAACAGAATCAACGTATCATTCAATAATCAGTCCGCGTGTTACTGATGTTAAACGTACGCGTCCGTTTTCTGGAGGTGATGGTGTTACGACGCGACATCTTCGAAGTATTCAAACAGGTGGTGGCAGTTTTCGTCAGGGTCTTGGTGCTTTGGTAAATAGTCCTGGTATACCAATGCATAGCGCCGGCAACTCAAACACTTTTCTGATCGTTTACAATGATTTACGTGTACGGGATAAACATGACCTTGTAAAATTAAACGATAAATTTGCTCAATATGTTGAGTCAGTACGATTTTTAGAAGCACAAAATCGTAAATTAATGTATGAAATCGACGCTATTGGAAGTCGTAGCGGACAGTAAGTTGATTAGAAATTTGACAACGAAAAAAAAAGATGAAATAATTATTTCCTAGAGGAACTTCGCGTATTGAAGGTATGTACCGAACTGAAATGGATACAGCAAAAAAATTAGTTGGTGAGACGAGAAATGACTTTGCTGGAGTCAATGCTAAAGCAAAAACAGCTGAAGATGAATGCAACAAACAAAAAGAACGATACAACCAGGTTATGAATTTAAGAGCAACTGATCGTAAAGCAATGGAAGATCTTGAACGACGAATGGCCGAAAATGAAGCTGTAAGATTGAAATTTATCCTAATCTCTGAGTTTTACATTAATAACTTTTAGTAAAGGATTATGACGGAATTCGCATTTATATTTGCATACGCGCGATTCACATATTTGATGTGCGATAGTTAGAATTATACAATATTATATTTTCTTCTTTTCTTTTTTTTTTTGTTAATTTTCATCATATTTCAGCGACACTGATTATAAATATGTATAATCTTTATAATCAATTTCTACACGCAAACGAAAAAGTTATTGTTGATTATATGCAGAGATCGTTGAAATGCATTTTTCTTCGTATTGATTAAAATCATTTACCGCAGCAATGCAAACAGAAAAAAAAACTGTTCTATACTCAATTGCAATAGAATTATTGCGGATGAAAAATATACTCTAGAAAAACAGTCATACATTAACCATGAGTTACCTAAACAAAACGCCAAAAATAAATATGAAGTTTTGATTTGCATTTTGTTTTTAATGTAGCAAATAAATTTATTTCGTCGTCGTATTGCCGACCTTGAAGATGAAGATCGTCGATATAAAGCTGAAGCTCGTCGTCTACAAAATGAAATGTCAAAACTTCAACAGGATCTTGGCAATGAAAGAGTTATGAAAGCAGCACATGATTCAGACAAAATGGCTCTTGAAGAGGAAGTGGCTAGACTTAAACGTGAATGTAAGATATTTATTAGTTTTAAATCATTTCTTTTTGTTTATTTTAATTTTTCTTTCTTCTTTCAGATGAAATCGAACTTACTGAACTGCGTTCTCGATATCAAACCGCTGATCTTGATATATCACAATTTCTCGATAAAGATTTAGTAAACCAACTAAGACAAATTCGTAATGACTTCGAAAACGAATCTAATCATCAACGTGAATCCATTCAGAGTAGTTATTCACTTACAGTTAATGAATTAGTTCGTCAAATACCATCCGATTCTAATGCACCTAACAATCAACAACAACTTCGACAAGTCGAAACTTATCGAGCCGATTTAACAGACATAAAAAATAAACGAAGTCATATGCAAGCTCAAAATGAACAACTTAAAAATCGAGTAGACGATCTAACTTTAAAAATCAAAAGTTTAAAGGAAAGTGGCAGCTATTCGATAGCTAGAGCCGACAAAGAAATTGCAGAAGCGAAGGCTCGTTTAGCAAAAGCTACCAGTGACTTTGACTCATTAGCAAGCTTGAAAGTAACCTTAGAACAAGAAATTTGTAAATATAGAGATTTACTTGAAAGTAATGAATATTTCTTTGAATAATTTATAAGAAATTTCTAAAATTCTTTGTATCTTTTTCCTATCAGGTCAAAATGGTCTTCGTCCATGTGTCGATCGAATTATAGCAGGTGCACATCACCCATCTATGGGTCGATCTGTTACTGGTAATAGTACATCGACAACTGTTATACGTAGAGTAACTGAATCTACTGGTAGTAATGGCCGAGTACGATTTAGTACAGATTCATAATTGATTATTGTAAGCCATTTAATGGGAGTGATAAACATTTAAACTGACAGATGTAGCCGACACGTTTTCATTTGTATTATCTAAACTATTGTGATATAGCATTATAATTGATTGCGCTTTTCAGAAATAAATACATTTTTAGTAAATAGCAACATTGATTAGAACTTTTTATTTCATCAATACATTAAGGCGAACAACTTGAAAGATAAAATGATTTCTAGAGTTTCGAGATACGATTGGCGCATTACTTTTTACTAGAGAACTATTACGAAGGGAATGTCTGGCCCTTATATTTATGAGAATAGTCGAAAATCAATTTATTCGTATTATTCACAGTAGATTATTCAAAAGTGTTTTTGAAATTCTTTCTATTTTTCTAACAAAAAATAATATTTTTCCACAATGATTCATTGCTTATTTTTAATCGAACGCAGTTCACTTCTCGAATTTAGCTCTAAAGCACGGTTGTAATTGTATTTTGATTTTAGAAAATTTCTCTTGCTTAACCTCTTCAATCCACATCCCTTAATGTCTTACCAAAGAGTCAATCTCCCTAGATTGATCGATCAGTGAATTTTTTTGTAGCTTCAATTGGTTTTGAAACGCGAACGAAAAAAAGGAAAAAAATAACGCTAGAGGGACGTCAATTTTCAAAATTAAACAGGTAGAACAAACTGAATGCTTTGCGTGCGTCTCACATTTCAATTTTCATTTGCTTAGAAAAAAATGTATGAAAAGAAATCATACCGCACCAACAGAAGGAACGTAGAAGGCTTTACTATTTACAAACGGCTTCTTATTTATAGATGCACTACTTCGTTTCATAATGGAGAAAGTTTCAGCGATGCAAAAAGAAAATATTTGTTTGGTACACAACAAATTTGTTTCTCTTCGGCTCGTCAATAATATAGAAAACCACAATCGATCATGAATTCCTGTTTAGAATTATCAAAAGCGAAACGCTATAAAGGTGTAAAAAAAAGCGATGAGCTACGAAAGATTAACTCGTGCAATAAGAAGAAAAACAATCATTAGTGTGCCACTTCATGATGTTGCTCGAAAAAATAATTATTTACGGATCCAGTGATTTTAAATTCCGATATAAATCTAGTGTGTGTACATCTTGAGAAACTTATTCAATATTAAAAGCTGAAATTTGATATGAATAGTGTCTCTGTCTGTTTTACGTTACATACGATTTTGAAAATTTGTGCTACTAGAACAAAACTACATGTCTACACAAAATACAGACCTTGAAAAAATCTCAAATACATCAAATCATTATTTCGACGAATTTACCTACATGAAATGATTAAAAAACAGTAGGAAAATGCTGAATGAGCTTCAGTTTCGCTCGGTGTCTTTTGTATAATCAAACCAATAAATTGAACATTTTGATTTTACCTTTTACTAATCAGTCAAAACAGTTCAACTCTAATAATAACAAATATAGCTCTGCATCTGTTATAAAACACTTTTATTGCCTATCGTGTCTATTAATCGGACGCATCATTTCGTTTTAATCCAATTGTTTCTCGCATTTCGATCATCATCGAAATGTGTTAGGGACAGAAAAAAAAAGCTAAATCTATGTTTATCTGAATCAGCTCTTCTTCAACTCATACGATAAACTGTCATAATATAATTTCAATGTGTCGATAAAACCCTGCTTTCGAAATCCTAAAAATTTAACGATTTCAACTTATCATAATTTTATAATAAGAAAGAAACAATGAGATGGATTCTTCGTATTTTTCATCATCTGTTTTCAATCCAATCGATATTTTTGTTATCACACGAAATTTGATCAAATGAAGAAGTCTAATTGAAAACAAATCTGTCAAGTTACTGTTATAAATTACACATAATTTGCAAAGTGGCAAAATTAAATAGAAAATTTGAAAAAAAATCAACAGACCATATCCTGTTTTCAAATCGAGGATCAGAGAAAATTGTATCTTTACAAAAAACAAAAGATTCACGTCGAAATCTAAGAAGAAGAAATAGAAAACTTCGACAGACACGTGTTTTGAGCATTCTTCTCTCATCAGCTGTTTTTGAATATTTTTCATTTAGATGATTATTTGTTTCGTTAATTGATGTCTTTTCATCATAACTAATGATGTCTCATCGTTCAATCTTCCAATACGAATATTAGTTTTCATCTTCAATTCAACCAATTGAACAATTTGTATCTTTCTCTCTCTCTCTCTCGAATGAAGCGAGACAGAGAGAGAGAGACAAACAAAAGATAAATTGTATATTATAATACGACGGACGATCATTTCTTCTTTCATTACGTCACTCACATATATATTCATCGTTTTTTCATTAGTATATCATTCAAAAACAAAAATGATTCGTATCAAACAGGATCCTGATGCATTGGATTTAACCAACCGATCACGACACCTTGTTTCGCCAACAAGTGAGCACGAAGATGATGAAGAAGAGAATTTCTCTGCTGAAGATGACACTCATGAATGCATTCCAAAGGTAGATCAAAACAGCTTTTCTCAAAATAATTTTAATGAATTTTGTTTTTTGTCATTCTAGAAAACAACATATGATAGCGGTTTTGTTGATACAAGCGATGAAAATAATAGTTCAATTATGGTTAAACAAGGTGGGTTGAACTATCCTAATGAATTATGTAGAATGTATCCACCACAGGAATAATTCATTTTCTATGTCCCATCTTGTATATCTCTACACCTCAAGCAATAGAATTTCCCGTCAGTAGGAGGTCTCATATCATATACATGTATAATTGTTTGAAAATGAATAGGAACAATATTGTAAATGAAGACGAGTGAATAGCTAGACACCTTTTTTCTTGATCAATTTAACCCTGGAGGTTATTGTATTTCTATTTTTGTGTTAATAGAACAAAATAATCATCATAATCATCATCATTATCATAGTACTCCGCTTCGACCTCAACAAATACATTCACATATTCGTCATCCGAGTACAAGTAGTAGCACATGTTCATCACCAACACGTCAAGAACAATCAAATGATAAAGAATGTCGAAATACACGGTACAAAAAAAATCATTGGTTAACAAAGAAAAACAATTTTGTTTTCTAGATTTTTGGGCAGTCGAGCTGTCGCTGTTTTAAATCAATGGTTTCAATTGAACAGAGAATATCCATATCCAGATGATGATCGAACCGAACGATTGGCTAATGAAGCAGGTAAGTGGCACCTTTTGAATAGCAAGAAATGATGTTCTCAAAAATCGTACATAGGCATAACTCAAAAACAAGTTAAAAAATGGTTTGCAAACAAACGTGTCCGCAGTCAAATGTGTTACAAACCGTTATATCGATCTCGAAAAGTAAAATACATTCGTAAATTTGTTCGTTTGCTAAATCTATTTTCGTGTTTAGCCTCGAAACTCAGCTCCTATTCCAGAACGTCAAACACAAACCAATTATAATTATATTATCAATCACAATAATATCGGAACACCGGCACCAAGTTTTCCACCGGCAAATCCAATGCTATTCAATCCAATGGCGACATCAATGATGATGTTTATGATGCAACAACATTTTCTATCTACAATGATGACTGCTGGACATCCTCAACCACAGATCGCACCTCCACCGACGACAAATCCAACACCAGCGACGACGACGACGACGACGACACAAAAAACGAATCCTGATCGAATCACTCGTTTTTGGTTATAAGAATGACTCTACACCGCTTGACAATGAGAAAAAAACACTCTCGGGATACACAGCATTTATTTGTTCATATGCAATGTATTTTGTTTTTTTTTCTTTGCTGTCTTCTTTCTCTTTTTGTTTTGCATTGCAACGAAATGTGTATATGTGGGAGTGTATTTTTCTGCGATTTTTATCTATTAAAATTACTAAAACGTTAGAGAAAAATTTATCTGTGCCGCTATTAAACTGCAATCGATTCTTTTCTATGAGTTAGAATTTACGTTTTACAAGTTAGCGAAAGACAACTGGATTTCATCAAACTTGTTGAATATCAATATTTTGATTTTTGTAGACTCATTGAATAGTCCATCTCTATTCGTCAATATCGGCTGTAGTCTACATAGTGTAATAGTTTAGAATAAAGATGGCTTTGTTTTTTCTAGTACGAAAAATGAATAGATAATTTCGTTAAACGACACTTCAGCTATGTTTATAGGGTGTCAATTAAGAAAAACATTCGATCGAAAAGATAAAAGCTATGATTCATATTGCACAGGTAGGGTTCGGCATATTTTCTTTTCTCTCGAGAGAACCGTTGTCTTCTTTGATGTCTCTCCAATGCTATCGACTGGTCTGGCCACTTCGTCTTTCGATTCCAATCGATGCGTCATTTCCCACTATGTTCCAATTAAAATTACCTATAAATTGATGCGACAAGTCATTTCTATTTCGAAAGTATATACAAGCATGAAACAGACCGCTTCTCTGTATGACGTCTATTGTTCGCACGTACACTATTAGTTGCTCGTCGTCTCATACATATATATATATACGACAACTATTCGAAATAGCCAACCTTCATTTTTCACCTCGAAGAGATTATCTATAGATATGATCTTCGCTTATTTGTGTTATCGTGCAAAAGGTAAAAGAGCATCTATACCGAAAATATGTTCGATTTAGATCTCTATCTCGATAAAGATGTGCTCCAATTATCGTTACAGGAAAGATGCGCGAACATATATAATCGAATATTTAAAGACAGCAGGAAAATTTTTTTTTTGCTGAAAGAAAAGTTCGTATGCTGATATTTTTTTACTTCTACTCAATTCGATGCGATCTCAGTTCGGTGAGGAATCATCAATTTGAGATGAAGGCAATATCGAATAGTTTCATTCCGACATTTCAACTGTGAAGAATAAATTGATCGTCCGTTTAATAGCTTATGTAATCACCTGCACATTGCATTCGTCAACTATATTAATTGATGACATGATGCGTATGGCAATGATCTCGCTAATTGAACAAACGAAAGTTTTCAGGCAGTAATTTTGTTCTAAAACTTGTCAATGAGACGCTTTGAGGATGTTCAGGACTTATTCTGATTATCTTCTAGTCGTGATGAATTAGTAAATTGAATTTAATATATCAATGTAAAAGAAAACAACTGAAATTTACAGATAAGTCGATAATAGAGAAATAGTTAATCGAATTTGTTTTCAATCATTCTGTAATATTGAAACTAGTTGTCTATATCGTGGATCATCGATTGCATTTCTTTGTATATATTGTTGACGCCGTTGAGCACTCATTTTACGTAGTTCGGTTTCTTGTCGATGTCTAACTATTTTCGATGAATGTGGTGCATTTAAAATTTCTAACATAACCGGTTGTACATGTAGGAATTTATGTTTTATCTTTTCATCGGTTACACTTGGGCTTTCGTCGTCGATGATTTCAAAACTGCGCGGTGTTAATGACGATGTATCTTCAACGGGATATATACTAGGTAGAAATATATGGCTTGTTCGAGGTTTACTCGTCGCGTCTTTGTTCCATTTTGTTCGACATATTTCTCGATATGATTTGTCTTTGTTAAACCATTGATGGCGTTTAGATAAATGTCCATGGGCAAATAAATGATCATAAGCATGACGACGGCGAACAACTTCGCGATTAACAAGTTGAAGTTGATCGAGTTTACGGTTTATTTCACGTCGATATTCATTTTCGGAATTAATTAAAGTCTCTTGATACAAACTTGGAAGTCGATTGACACTTGATAGTTTAGTTCGCTTGCTATAGAGCAAAGAAAAACAAGGTTAAATTACGTATTTGATGAAAAATAGCTCATGAAAAAAGAATTCAATATTTTTTCAAAGTATTTGCTTATTTTATTTCGGTATTTACGTGCACTGGTCATAGAGAAATATTTTATCACGCCACTCGACGCCTCTTGAGAAAATGTCTGATTCACACAGTAGCTATGCGAAAAATGAACCCGTAAGAGAAATCTTCGTAACCATGTTACTGCGAAAAGGTAATAAAAATATTTTCCTTAGGATCTATTGTATAAAAGTTAAAGATCAAATCATATTTTTATTTCTCGGGCACTTTTGTCAATCTCATCGAGTCCTATTTATAGGGAACTGCAGAAAAAATTTTGAACAAACCGAATTCATTTTACTGATTTTTCTAATTACAATAAAGATCCCAGTATATTCTTCGATTTCAATCTCCCATGTATTTACTCACGGCAGTGGCATTGCCTTTCAAGAAGCTCGAAGTCGCACTGTTCTATTCTTTCTTGAGAATTTTTTAAATTTTACTTGATTAACACAAAGCAGACTATGCATTATAAATATTATAGTTATTTGCCGTAAAAAATACAGTTTGATTTTTTAAATTGGTATTGAATAAATGGAATTATGTTTTTACTCTGTTTGTTTCCGTTCGAAAGATCTATAAAAAATGACTTGACCATTTCCGAATTTTCAATAAAAACTCGTGAAGAATTTTCTTTTCTACTTACGTATTCATTTTTGTTTTTCGAAAAAGTATAATTGACTTTTTTGTCTAAATGTTGCGATGAAATGACAAGTTGAATAATACAATCGATGTTGGTCGTTCTTCAAGTCAATATTTTTAATACTTCAAACATCTTATATTTACCAATGCAGAACAAGAAAACGATAGATTAATAAATCGATCGAACACATTTAAATAAAATAAAAAAAACATTTTGCATAGTCAAAGTTTTGACATAATAGTAGCTACTTTGACTTGACTAAAATAAATCATCAGAAGTATAGAAAAGAAGAAAAATCGATTGTAAAAAAAACAACCACAGAAAAAGAAACACCAACTTAATATCAAATAGATTATCTATTTTTAGGAACTCAACGATAATATAGAGTACAGTACATCCAAAAAAATATTTATTTTATTTTAGAAAATTTTGAAGGCCAACTTATAATTTAATGTTTTTGGGGGATTTCGTTTTTTTGTTTATTAGAATGCCTTGAAATATCGCTTTAGCCATTGAATATTTTCAAACATGATATGGCAAACTGCAGCGATCAAGTGCGGCGCTGATTGGCAACTCCATTCATTTTGAATAGATTGAAGATTAGATTTAGCACCGGTGAGAACACTATGGCGCCTGTCACTTTCGAATACAAAAAAAAAACTCTTACATCATCATATTGAAGATCCTCAAAGCAAAGTATACATAATATACAACGTTCGTTCTTCATCGCATTAAAACACGAATTTTTACAAGATTCTCTGAAACCAGGATGTGCATCAAGACATTTTTTCAGCACACAAAACAACTGATCTTGGAACTTTTGAGAAGATCTCCGAGTCTTTCCGAACTTCGTTTTTTTAAATCTATTTCAAATATGATCTTGATGGAGAAAGAGAAAGTTTATATTTTATGTCGCCAGATGAGAACGGTTTTATCATGAAGAGCAATAGAAATAATATGGCCTTTTTCTTTTTTTTGGATATTCGACGTCATCGTTTGAAACCTATTGAAAGAAAACATATAAAAACATCGTTATCATTACAAATCACATCGTTTCATAGAAACAAAATGAATACAAAAATTGTTGAAATAAAAATATTTTTTCCGTTTTTTGGAGATTAACACAAATATTACCTATGACACAGAGCCATGAATTTCTTTACTGTTGACTAGCAACAACAAATAACTTAATTATCGGTGCAGTTTTCATTGGCATGAAGTCCTATAATAGGAACACGAAATCTTGTAATGAATCAACAAATAAGATTATTATAATATTCGTTAACGACGCTTTCCGAGAACAACAAGATTGTTCGTTACTTTTTGTGCCTGTTCAGTAGTTTCCTTCATGACTGTGTAAATAAATTCTAATTCTCTGTACGTAGATCTTTCTTTTTGTTCTCGTTTTCTATTTATAAAAGTCTTGTTTGCTATTGAAACAAGACAAATGGATTCTTTGTTTGTTCTTTTGTATCCACATTTCATACTTATTGTTACTCCGGACGAAAATTTTAATAATTATCATCCTTTTCCAGTTACTCCTATGAATTCAATAGACATTCTATTGTTAGTCTAAACAATAAAAATGCGCATTGCGGCGGACGACTTTTGTTTTTTAAGTACGCTGCAAAACTACATTATGTGTACGGAATTTTCAATGGCATCTTCGAAAAGTAAATACATTCGAATGATTAATATTGGAGATTGTTGTTCTTTTTAAAAATAATTTTATGCTAAATCTTTTCAAACTTCAACTTTCTTCTGTACAGTTTTTACTTTGCATAATCGCATTCAAGTTGAAGCCTTAACATCACGCTAAGTAAAAATATTATCCGTTTTTCTTTGCATCGTAGTCATATGAATGTCTGCTCTGATCGATCGAACATCAACAGGCTGAATTAAAAATTAGCAAATACGGCTACTATTAAGGAGTAGTTTTTGTCATCTTGAAAGCAAGTTTTTCTTGATCAATATACGTCACAGACTAAAAAATAAGCGTATTTAATTGAATCGATGATATATCGCCCACCTTCATGTAAATAAGTCCATGTTTATTTTAATAAGAAAACAGCTCAGCTATTCCATTGAATTTAGTACGAAAATTGATTATGACGTTACTATTTCGTTCTTGAAAGAAAACATTGTATTTTTTAACGTTTTATTTTTCTTAGACAAAACTGCAGAGAATCGGCACGTACCTATCTTTGACCCTGATATAACAATAGCAAGCTGCTGTCTCTGAATAATTAAAAAAATAGTTTTATGTACCTAGTGGGAACCATCCGGTGTTAAAATTTTTATCTGAATCCATGAATCGGACTCTTTGACACAAGAATATTTTTCGTCACGTATAGCATAACCATTATCGTAACATATATATATATATATATATACTTAATTACTAATCAAGATGGAATATGCGAAAGAAAAATTTCTGTAACAAACGACAACAGTATTTCGTATTATTATTATTATTATTATTCGATAGGAAATTCTCTATTTTTCTCAATAATGAAAAGTACATGTCACCAGCTGTTGCCATTATCGATTCGCTTCTAACTCGCATACTTGTCATTATTAAAAGAAAAATTATGTAATAGAGTTTTCAGTTTTGTTCGATATTTATTAGTAAAGGAAACCACGTGGAAAAAAAGAAACAAAACACACAATTTATTTGTTCTTATTTAATGAGCGAAATTTTATGCGTACAAATAATATCATGACGTGATTAATATTCTGTTAAAATATATGATTGTCCCAGGCCATTCCGTTTGATTAGAAGACAGTTTTTTTAATATGTTTATTTGTTGCTTTGGGTTTGTTTGCATTCGTATTCGGACCATTCGAATCCTTCACGTAAACAATACGAAAACTCTCTAGAATAAAAACGAAGTTCATATAGAATTCACGTAACTATTAATTTTGTCGACTTCATTTTTTTATTTTATTTTTCTAAACTGAAAATTTTCTTGTTTTCAAAATATGCAAAGAATAATAATCATCTGTTTATTGTGTTTAACCATTTACAGCTACATAAATTCAATGTCTCAGCAAGGCTTCGAAAATATTGAAATCGAACTTTTCCTGTAACATCAGGCATTTCGTATAGAAGAAATGATTCAATCTCACATGACTTGTAAATTCAAATGATAATTTAACACATGTCGATTTTTTTGAAAATAGAATAGAAATTTACTGTAGTTTTGAATACAAGATCTTTAGCTGTTTTCGTATCGTTAACTAGATTCAATGTTTATATCCTACCGAGAAACTCGTTAATATCAATTTTTCCATTCTTATCAAAATCCATAGCCAATGTAAGTTCTTCAATGTATGCTTCATTGACTTCACCGGTACCATTTTCACCAATAATTAAAAGTTTAATAATGTCAGAAAATTCATTACGACTAATAAAACCTATGATATTGTGTATATTCAATAGATAAATATTCATTCAAGCGAAGAAAGAAAACTATACCAGAATGATTGTAATCAATTAAATTAAATAATATCATCAGCATATCTTTCCACATATATAAATCTTCCATAATACCTGTGTTAGACTAAAAACAAGCAAAACAAAAAGGTTAACCAACATGAAATATATTTTGAAATACCATTTGAAATTTCGTGTTATCTAGCTGGTATCCATCAAACAGAGTATCATAAAGAATTCCTTGTTCATCTTCTTCTACAAGCTTTTTGCGTAATACAAGCCATGGTAAATCGACTTGAAGTACACTTGACATAATTTGCGACCAAGCAGTCAAAGATAAATGATCTAATTCGATGAAAAAAAAAGGATCCTGTTTAACAAAAACAAAAACAAAAACAAATCGAATACTTGTCTGATTGGTATCTGCATTTTGAAATTCTTTTAGAAGTAAATTTTTATTTGTCATAAGTTTTTCTGCCAATGAATGGTATGCTGGATCTTCGAATAATGTTACTCTTTAAAACAAAACAAAAGAAAAAATGACAAACGTATTCCTATTGAAATTATCTTACTGTTTATTAAAGCTTAGTTTTCCCATTTCAACAGGTTCAGTTTTATATGAAATTATCCATGGCTCTGGCTCATTGTAATCCCTAAAAAAGAGTGAAATAGTAATGCGTACAAAATCAGTATCATCATAGATCCAAACCATCGTACAATCGCACCCCAATTGGATCCTTTAGAATAATTCGATGCACTAAATACCGTCAGAACTTTACGATCATGTGTATATTCATAGCCTTCTGGTTTGACTTGATGTGAACGTATGATCATTGAAAGATTATATTTAGCAAGAAAATCTCGTGTTGTATCGGCACCAAAAAAAGTAGCAATGTTTCTATCGTCGTTTTTTCGACATCCTTTACGACCTTGAGGATCTGGATCGCTCCAATATAAATCTAAAATTTTTCTTTTAATATTAAATATATACGAGAGTATTTCATTTTATTATCAATACCTTGTATTTGACGATATTCATTATCTTCCTCAGGAGTCAATCGTTTACCGCCACCTCTTGATTCGGGCGGTACTTCAATTGAAACATCTAATGAACAATAAAGATAAACATGATTTAAGAGGCTGACTTAAAAATCTAATGAATCATATAGTTAGGACCAAAGCTAAGCCTAAGCTTTCGAAAAACACCATGTTGATTAGAGATAAAAAATGCTGCTGATGAAAATAAAGCTTCAATCTAAGGGCAAAATGAGGCACGCCCTTATTTAATTTATAATCCTATCTGGCATTGAACTTGAGTGAAAAGGTAGAAGGTAATTATAACAAAACACTAGCACTGAAGTACAAGTTGAATAATTTTAGTTATTCGAATTATTCCAAAAACCAAATCTCATTCAAAATTCGAACCCTCCGGAACTTAAATATATCACATACGATCTTACATCTGTTTCTCGTAAGAGCATTAATTTGTTTTAAATTAATTTTATCCGATATTCCTCCATGTATTATAATAATTTTCGCTGCTCCGGTTTCAACGTATGAATAAATTGGTAGCCAACTAAATATATCTTTAAATAGATCAATTATTGGTCCTTTGCGCGCCTAAATAAATAAATAAATGTATATATATATATATACACATATGATAATTTAATTTCATCGAAAATATTTTGAACTTACGCTATATTTTTGGATAACTTCATTTTGAAAACCATATCGAACGGTAACCATAATATCTTCGTGATTGCCTATTCAGTTTTATTCATAAGTAGAAATATTATTTTAAGCAAAAACAAAACTACCTCGATTAAGAAATACAGAGCTTGGATAAAGAACCAACGAAGTCATGAGCAATAGAATAACTTCAACTGAATTATGACCTCGATCCACAAAGTCCCCATTGAATATATACGGATTGTCAGTCGAAGGCAATCCATTCTACAATTAATTGAAATAGAACTAATTTTCATGTGCATCTCACTTACTGCATTAAATATATGTAATAAATCAGCTAATTGTCCATGCAGATCGCCAATAATGTGTATATGACGTAAGACAGATAAATCGATATGATTGAAATTTGGCAAGGCTTTAAGTATAGCGCGTGCTTGATGAAGAATTACACATACATATTTTTCATGTAAAACCTACGAATATAAAACTAATTATAACTGAAAAGCACGTGAAACCGGATGAGATAAGAGACTATAATTATCTCTGACCGAAAACATTCGAAAATTTTATTCGATATCTACTTATCATTATTAAATGATATTGGTCTTATTATATTCGTGACGTGATAGCAGTTCGAATTCGTATAACAAGCACGAAAAACTGTCTAAAATTTTCAGAACTAAAATGATTAGAGATTGTTGAATGAATACACGATTGCCGATAGAGCGAAAATTAATAATTAATTTTTTATTTGTAGCAGCTCTGAGTTTTCTTTTTCTATGCACGCAGAATTTATTTTACATTAAAACAAATTTTTGATCATGAAACTTGTTTACCAGATAATCACGTTTGTATTCTTTTCTTCTGTATGACGCATTTCAAACATGAAAAATTTTCTACACTCTGTTTTATCAAACGGAGCCATGTGTTAACGATATCATGAAGGTCGAGTGGAAACAGTAATTAACTTCATAGTCTCCACATTCTATGAATTCGTACAAACAAACAAAAAAATATCTGTTTTTAATTTTATAAAATGAGAAATGCTGAAAGGGAAAAATTCTATTAATAAATCTTATGATCTTTGTCAAGAAACAGTCGAAGCAGCGTACGCGAAAAAAATTACAATTTAAATAAAATCCAGCAACATACTGAGCCATAGCATGAAGTCCGGAAAGTCGAATAAAATGCGTTGTTTGAATTTAATAAATATCTATTGAAATGATTGATATTCTCTTGAAATCATTAGAATTTTAAACTTCGTAGAGGTTTAACTATTGAATAGTTTCATGAAGAAAATAATCATTTCCAGTGAAATTAATCTAGAACAAATCCAATAAATTCTAGCTTTAACTTCATAGAGAATACTTGTGAATTCTAATCTTTTAAGGATTCTTCTACTCTAGAAATCTCTTGAAACGTCCTTAACACAATAATCTAATCAATGCATCACTTGATAATATAAACAACAGAACAGTAACCGCTTATGTTTTGCTCGAGAAAGAATTCTTCAATGCCAAATATTCTCCAAGAAAATATCAATATTTACATAACAAACTCAGCTCGTTGTAATGCTTATTTGAGGCGCAGCTATGAGGCAATCATCTGTTTCCAGTTGTTAACTATCGGACTTTTCCATTAGTAATTTTTCTCTTACTATTACTTCATCGTTACATTTCATTCACGTAGATTAATCTATGAATATAAATTGTATTGATTTTAAAGTCAACCTTTAAAATATTTCATTCTGTTGTGCATCCTAATCCTCTGAAGATTTTATTACGCGCATTATATCACTTACTTGTCCTTGTTGAAAAGCTTCAATTAAATCTACCAATGTCTTTCTCGTAATTGGACCATCAATACCTATGTATTTAAGATAAGCAATGAATTAATAATTTATTCATAATATAAAAAATTTGCTTACGTGGTCCTCGATAACTTGACTCAACTGGAATACTATCAGGATTTGTTGATTTTAGCAGCTCTTTTTCTTCTACAAACAATGAAATCGAATATATCTAATTATAAATTTTTTACTCTGCTATACATTACCTACAGGTAATCCCGCTTTCTGAAGTAATTTCGCAACCGATGGTGACAATGTCTCGGAAGCTTTAAGTAATCTGTCAAACATATCTTTGAGCTACGTTTTATAAAATAAAATTTAAATTCTAATTTAACACCAAATAAGAACTGATCATTTTCTTGCTAACTTTCGATTCCGTTTGTTCGCTGGCATATTCAAGTTTCTCGTGCATTTTCCATGCTGCTTGCTTCTTTAATCTAAGCCGCGCTTGATGTGAACGGAATGCAGCTTGGATTTTTGCTGCGGATTTGTCAACTAGAGAAAAAAAAGAAAATTTTCCTTCAAAGTATAGCCATTTACATAATTCTAATTTTTAATAATTCTTCATAAAACTTTTACGACCGTAATTTACGACCGAAAACAAGCAATAAAATAATTCGTACCTCCTGCTGAAGGTAAGCGCGTAGCCATTTCGATTCTATCTGATTGATCAGACAGTGATGCTACTTGTGGTATGATCTAAAACAAAAAACATTCAATCTTTCCCACAAATTAGAACAGCATTCGACTAATATCTAGACAATTAAATAAATTTCCTTGAAAATTCTTTACGACATAAATTCATTTTTTTCCTTTAATATCAAACAAACTAATATATTACATGAAGAATAACGTCTGTTACGAACGATAACCGTACAGTAGAACAATCAAATCTTACCTGAGATAACTTCGCGGAGTTCATAGCCGCTTTCTTTTATATTAAAATGATATAAATGACAAAGAGAAAAATAGTAAAAGTGAAATGCAACCATATTTTTTCTTTTTCTTTTTCTCTGTCGTATTTACAACGTGATCGGTTCAAGGCAAAGCATTCGCAAAATAAATATGTACGAACCGATAAAATGAAAAATAAAGAACAAATGGAGCTGATATAAAAGTTAATATATATATATATATATATATATATATATTAGTTATTGTTTAGTATGCATAGGTTGCTAACTGTGAGTTGAAGAGTAAAAAAAATCTCGCCTGTTTTGCGTCCTACTCTTCTTTCCTACCTCATTAAGTGACGCCAACGGAACAGAATGGCGAATGTGGTGCTCGCATTAACCAAACGCATCGAGCCGATTTCACCACATACACTATATCATCAAGCCAATACAAAGAAGAAAAAAAGAAACATAATGGCTCGAGAAAGAATGATGTCAACCGCAAAAAAAGGCTCTGAGAAAATGAGAATTTTACTAAATTGATATAAGGAGTTTTTTTTTCTTTTTGCATGTTCATTCAACTTATTTTATTATGCTGAAACAAACACCAATCAGCGCATATATATATTTATATATGTACACAGCCAAACTAAATAGTATTTTCCTTCTTTTTTTTTCTAACAAAAAACCGAAACCTTCGTCACATCTGTATAAGGAAAAAGAACAACAAGAAATGTTTATTACAATGTAGTTTACACTCGAATAATACAGCTGAGTGATAACAAAATAAAATTTTAAACTTTGATTTTCTTTTTTGGTGATTCATTATTCGTATCTGATGGCGGTCCATTTTCTTCATCACTGGAATCACTACTGCTGCTAGTTGTAGATGTTTCACTGGACGATGACGAAGAGGACGATGACGAAGACGATGACGAGGAACTCGACGATGATGATGAACTACTTGAGCTTGAATCCGATGAATTGCCATCATCATTATCATTATTATTTTTATCAAATTTGATTGTTTGTAAATCATCATTTAATTGTCTGTGAAGAAAAAATAATCTTTATGAATTAAAACTTAAAAAAAGAAATTTCTAAATACTTTTTTCTCGTTTCATTAGCATTTGTTTCTTCATCTTCTTTACTTTTTTTTAATTGTTTTATACGTTTTTCCAGTAGTTGTGTACGCGATGGTCGTTCAACATATTTTCTTTTGCCTTTACACTCAAATGTCCAATGGCCTTTTGTTAAACATTTTTGACACTGAGCAACCGTACTTTCTTTTTCAAGACTAAAACAGAAAAAAAAGAATTCTTATCAAAAATTCACTAGCTGATGCCGTTTTCAAGTCTAATGAAATCTTTTCACTGTAGCAAGAAGTAATTTTTCTATTGAGTATTTCCGTTCTTTTGGTATAGAAATATCTTTCATTAAATTTAAAGAAATACTTTTTGATATATTAAAACTGAAGATCAAATCTTACCGTTCACGCATCAGTGCACGAGGTTTTCGAGGTGGTATTGAACACATCTATAATTTTATATTTCAATCTAAAATTGTAATTAATTGTTTACATTTATATTCTAAAATGAGTAAAACTACACGGCGTTCTCACTAAGAGATTCATAGTTAGCAAGTTTCGGCACTTCTTTGATAAAATTTTAAAAAATGTAAGGGAGAAATTAGTTTCGATATATTTACAAGATTTTATTTGCTAATACAATGTGAGTCATAGTCGTTTGAAATGTTCAGCCCTACACTCATTCTATACCAATTTTATAAAGATTCATTTCGCACCCTTTAATTCATTCAAAGATAAAACAGACACATTAAATCTGCTTAAGAGCGACAGTTAGATCTTCAAGTATAAATACCAATTAGTACAACCACTTAAAAGAAACTAGAAATACAAAAATTTTATTTGCCCCAGTTCTCCTAGACTCATATGTATGTGTATATTTTTCAATACTTCGATATAGATAAACAAAAGGAAAATGAGATAAACATAGCTATTATTTTTTTACATCTTTGTAAGCAACAACAAACATTTGGGGTACATCAAACTCGGGTGAGTAGCCACTGTTATAAGATGAATCTTCAAATATGATACTATAGCAATCTTTACCCACTCGTGGTATGCTTTCAACAACACCTTTATAGAAACATGATGTCTGAGGATAGAGGGCGAGTACAACAGTACGTGGTAGAAATAATGCTTGTGGACATGTTAATGGACACGCACGCCATTGTGGTAACGGTATAATATGTCTTTTATAAATATTATAATAATGTCCTTTGTCGGGTTCTGCATCAATATCAACAATATCATATTTTGTTTTGTTCGGATGTACATTTGCTACTTCAGCTAATATCCAATTTTCATCACCATCGTCACTTTCTACAAAACCTGCTATACGATCACCGACATGGCATACATGATTTGATGCAGCAGGTACGGCACCACAAAGCGGAGGTGGTGAAACATCACTCTAAAGAAGAAAAAAATCAATAAAATTCATCAATGAATATTGGCTGTCTCAGTGGTTTTTTTTTTGTAATAGAGAAACTTATTAAGACTAAACGATGGGTGAACTACTTTCTTGAACGAACATTCGAGATCAAAATAATGCTTGCCACAAGTACCAAATCTTTAAACTTGATTAGAACTATGTTATGCATAATCTTTACCGAAGCAAATCTAAGTTCTCAGTCAGTTATAATCGTTAATTTTAGATGTAAAAAAAGACAGGATTCATGAAGGAGATACGAGTTTTTGTTAATCAACAAAAATTTTCAAAGTATCTTTGATATTTCATCGGAAACTCACTTTATTTGTATCGTGCTCACTATTTTCGTTTCCATACCAAGTTTTTAAAGCATACGCCATGTGTGAAAGAAGATCAGCTAAACCTCGTCGTGTTGTATGACTGCGTGTAGCATCATTATGATGCTTTGAAGCATTTGCAATTTCAATTTGTAATTGCCGAACTTGTGAAATTTTGTCTAGAGCAGTTTTATACATCTCTATTTCACTTCGAACATTAGTCAATGCTTCGTTTAGATTATTTTTTGGTGATTGAGAACTTGCATTTTCATTTGAGGACGTAGGTGACTTTGGCTGTTGAATAGAAAGCCACGCATCACGGCTAGTAGTGTAGCACTCTTTTGTTTTTTTCAGATCATCTTGTAATTCAAGTAATAACCTTTGAATTTTAAGTTCATTTTGACTAATTACATCTTTGGCTTCGGTTGAGGATGATTGTGTTATACTAGCTGACGATGAGGACGATCTACGAGATGATGAATATTCGGAATTATTATTTGTACGTGTCATGACCTTTACATGATTTTCATTCTATCTTTGTGTGTGTATAATTATCTAACAACAACGGAACTGATACAAAATTATTGATGTGATGGTGTGAACCAATAGTATAATTTGACAAATCTAGATGTCGTGAAACGACAATTGTTATTTGTATTAATATTAATATTCACATATGAAAGAATAGCACTAATATGCATGTACAGAAATCAACACACATGATTTGTAAAGAAGAAAAGAAAGAAAGTCACATAAAAAATGAAAAACTACACGATGTGAACGGTTATATTTATTTTGTTGAAATTGTTTAAGCTTTCATACGTGCCGACAACGATCGAAAATTAGTACGCAGTCTTAACCAGACGTGTGCCAACATCGTTAAGACAATCGCTAATAGACCGACAACAGTTAAAAAATAAAATTTATCGATGAATAATAAATCGAGTAACTTATTGAATAATGACGCTATATTGGAGTTAAAATGGCTATATCTACCATATCAAAGCTTGAGCAGGTCTTTTGAAGTTTTTTAAGAGCCTAGCATCCCCCAGAACTGAAACAAAATGATCATGAGTGATATTTTGATAGCTATTTCTTAAAGAATTGCGAAAGTAAACTGGAAGACGAGCCAGTCGCTTTACAAATATTAAAAGAGCTATTTCAATTGCATATCCGTTGATTGATAGCAATCCGATGGAAATTCGAGTTATAAAATGTTGCAATTGGTGCGACGCTTATTTGGCTAAATGTGGGTAGAATTATAGAGATCTCCACAGTGTACAATAAAATAATGACTAGTTTTCGTAATAGAAATAGAAGAATTAGGACTATAAATGTTACAATTGATTGTTTGGGTTATTTATTTATGATTTTTTTGTACACTATTTTTTAAGCAATAAAATTTCATCGTTCTTACATGACATCTATCTTTTGACATACCTGCAACTTTCATATAACATTTGCACAGTGCAAACCACTGAGTGTGTTTTTATTTTAGTCATGATGACTTAAGTAATTGAAACTAGCGAAGTAATCCGATGACGACGGTGTCGCTAATTTTTTGCGCTCTTCCTGAATATATCCGATCTGTTTTGAATTAGAAGACTTACTTACAAAAAATTATTATAAAAAATAACAATTCGTTGTCGTTGTTGTAATTCTCTTTTCCATTTGACAATAGTGTGTACTAAATAACCAATCAATATTCAAGCAAAAAAACTGACTCATCCATTGGGAAATATTTAGAATAAAAGTTGCAACTTGTATGTGTTTAAGGACACAACTCAGAAAGTAACAGGGTTCCAAAGAAATTTGGAAAAAAATATATATATAATTAAAAACGATGCAGCCAAACAGTAATCGACCGGTATACATCGTTCAACCATCAAATATAACTCATTTCAATGTACGACCAACAATAATCACGACTGCCGGTCAACAAGTACAAACACAACAACAGTCGAGTTATCAAATATCAACTGTACGTCAGCCAATAATGTCTCCACAACCGTCAACACTCTATCAAGTTCAACCTCAACCTCAACCTCGTCTTCTTGGTCCATCACCTGTCTACGCTTCTTTGCAACCGCAGCGTTTTGCTTCCACTTCACCAAGACAAATAATAACAACAAATACAAATTTATCACCTAGTCTTCTTACACCTCAACCAGTATCACGTTTGCCTTTGACGGCATCACAGCCAACTACAACGATACTACGACCAAATATAATGGCAATATCAACTTCACCGACAGTAGCATCAATCTCAACATCAATGCCGTCAACAGCAGCAGCAACAGCAGCAGCACAAACGGCAGCTGCAGCAGCTTCGAAAGATGTTTCTGTGAGAGTACCTAAGTAAGTCATACACTCATGATCTGTACGTCTATTATTATCAGTAAGATAATTTGATTGTTTTGTCAAACATACACGTTTGCATATAAAAACATGTGGACGATTTGATAGAGAAAAAAAATTACAAGGATTCTACTCGTTTATAGTTGAGATAGATCATTGTATGTTTTCCAACAAATTATATTAATAATTCTTCATTCTTTTTTTAGAACTCGAGCTCAATATGGGATTATGGAATTCGCAAGTGGTGTATCAGTTGATGTTAAAGATTGGAAAGCAATAGAAATGAGACGTGAAATAAATCCATACACATATCGTGCACCAACAAATCTTGATGCTAATGCTTCAGTCTCATCGGGAACAATCACAACGTCACTTGGTCTTGTTTTGCCTAAAACCGGTGCTGGAAGTGAATATGGTCGTGAACAAAAGGAAGCATTAAAACGAAAACGTTTTGCAACGAAAGGAACAAATGTTGAAGATCTTCCTTGGTTATTAACTGATCGTTCATCAACCGAAAAAAAATTAAAACATTTTCGAGGATTAAAAAAAGGTGGTGTTACAACTAATTCATCTTATTATGTATTTATTCAAGGCAAAGATGGTTTCGAAGCATATCCTGTTGAAGATTGGTATGGATTTACACCAACAAATGTTTATAAAACACTTGATTTTGAGGAAGCTGAAAAGCAATATCAAGAACGACACAAACATTTAAGTAAATGGTTTATGAAACATCAAGTCGCAAAAGAAAAAGGAGATGATGATAGTATTGAAAACGATGATGAAAAAGGAAGAAAAACAACAACTAAAAGTAAACGTAGTTTTAAATTACTTGATAATGAAGATTGGATTAATGAAAATGAAGAAGGTAAACAGTCTCGGATCAAACAATAGAAAAAGAATCTAGTTTTTTTTAGAAGAAGAAGATGATGACGATCGAGATGACAAAGATGATAATGATAAATCAAATAAAAAATCTAAAACAAATAAAAAAAATAATAAAAAGCAACCCGAGGCTTGGAATTTAAGTGATGACGACGAAGAATCTGAAGCAACGCAATCAAAAGCGAAAAAACCAAAGACGGCTGTTCAACGTCAAACAAGCGAAGATAAAGAAGATTCTGATGATGGTGATCATGAATGTAAGAATTAATTGATATAAATCCTTTGTTTCACTGAAAAGCATGTTTTTCTCTTGATTGAAATCGAACAGAATTAATTCATTCAAAATAATTATTTCAACACGTTTGCTTTTCATAATTATAATTGCGGAGCCTATTTCAGAGACATAAAATGAAATAACTAATTAATTTCTTTTTTTACTATTAAAACGATTGATTATTTTATTTTCTTAGGTGATGAAATTGATTATACCAGCGATGAAACATCTGACGACGAAGAAGATGTTAAAGGTACATAGATATGATTGCATTTCAATATTCTATTTAATTCTTAATTTTAAGATGGTCATACAGACAAAACATCGGAAAAATATGAAGTCAAAGGTTTGTGTTTTCAACTGCAGTTATTCAACAAATTTCGTTTTATCTATTTGTAGGTGTCGATGAGCAAATGAAAACAGTTCCGGATATTGACAAAAAACTTGAACAAATGGATGATAATGCAGATGAACTTGATTTCGATGATGACGATGAGGAAGAGGACACTCATGATTTAGGTGAAAGATAAAATTTATATTTAATTATTAAAAAATTATTTATGCACTTTTCTTTGTGTTGTAATACTTTAGATGACAACGATGATGAAAATGGTAGAACAGCTGCTGATGATTTATCTGCTGTTACTAAATTACTCAAAAGTGATGTAGTTAGTAAAGGTTTGCATTGAATTTAGAAACAAAGGAAAGAACAAATTTTATGATATTTTTCCTTAGAAATTGAATCCAGTTCAGATGACGATGATCTCGATGATTCAGATGATCCTGATAAAGAAACTATTGTACCTATGGCTGTAAATAGAATTTAAGAGAAAAAAAAACAATCTTAAACTTAATATTTATTCTATTTAGACTTCTACGAGTAATCAATCAGCTCCATTGGAACAAATTAAAACCGGTGGGTGTCAAGAAAGAAATAGATCTGTATCCTTGCTTGAGGCAGAAAGATTTAGATCGTGTCTACTCACAGAAAGATATGATCGTCATCAAAGAGTTTCGATTTCAAATGAAGCTATTAGAGAGATGTTCGTTTTCGTTGAGGCTTTCACTACCAAGCAATGAGTGCTAAGTTTACCTAGAGATGAAATGCGAGATAAGTTTTAGTAAGACTTTCACGAGTATATCAAGTTTCAGATTGATAGCATCTCAAATATGTATCATTGATTGTGTGCCCTCCGAGAGATAGAACAATATATGTTTGTCTCTCTAGAAAAAGGTCACAAGAAAGCAAAGGAAGAAGAAATGCGAGCCATTAAATCACAAGTTATGTCACTTCCAACTACACCAGCAAACCCCAGGTTAGTGTTATGGTTTATTTGCTGCTGAAAATATTTATTTATTGTAATGCAATTTAGTGAAACAATTACTGAAGACAAAGTTCGAAGTTTACTTTTACGGAAACAACATATGACATCGAAAGAGTTAATTCAAAACTTTTTACCTAAAGCAGAAAACTTACGTACAAAAGAAATGAAAGAAGGTATTGTGCAAAAATTAGCCACAATATTAAGGCGTTTAAATATCGAAGAAAAAATGGTCAATGGTAAAAAATATATTAAACTTAAAACAAGTTAAAAACGATCGATTTTCATCCATCAATACACATTGTTGTTAATGTAAAACCATGATTTTTTTTCTCTTTTTCTTTGTATGAATAAATTTAGAAACAGAATCGACCAGATAAAGAATAATTATACAGAAGAAAAAAAAAGAGAGAACGATGTTTATCGAATATAGAACACCAAAAAAAAACAAAAGTAGAAAATTGTCCCGGGTCTTTTTTCAAGCTCCATTAAAGGAATAAGAATAACAATTAATATTTCTTTAAATTAGTAAACAACCACCTTTACGTTTGCGTTTGCGCATTAATGCAGCACGAGTGGCGAATTCGAATACTTCACGAACACCTAAAAATGAAATGATACGTTTTTTCATGTTGAACTCAATGACAAATCAAAATAATTACCTTCTTTAGTTCTAGCTGAACATTCAAGATAACCAACAGCACCAATTCTATCTGCCATATTTCGACCATATTCAGATCTAACTAATTCTTGTTTCATTTTCATTAATTCTCGTTTCGTCATTTCATCTTGACGTAAATCTTTTTTATTTCCTAAAAATAAAGGCTGAAGTTCGAAGAAAGAATATTAGTACCGAAAATTATGAAATTGATTCATAGAACTCCATAGGAAAAGGAAGAAAACAAAAGTTCATAGAAATCGCGTTGATACATAATTACAATGACCTTATACGGTTCTGTTTTGTTGTGATGAAGTACAAATTAAAGACGAGAGAAGAAATCTATTCTATTTTTATTTTATAAATGTAATCGTAATTAGCTCGCGATAGATGGGAACGGAGCGAAAAAAAAGTTCTAGTTTTTTCACTATAAATAGACAATTTAGTTGTTATGCATGATTTCCCGATCAACATACTAACATCAAAACTCCGATGGACTTAAACCAATCGAATTTATAAATATATTAGCAGCTCATGGCAAGTTGCATTTTGTGTGCCCTATGTTTTCTTTTTACTATAGAAAAATTTTCTATTTGTAATAAGTGAAATAGGAAACACTATTTGAACTATGATGGTAGCATCATATTTTTCTTCTGAATTAATCCATAAAAGTTGCTGATTAAAATCATTGACCTTTCATCTATTCACAGTGAAAAGTCATTGGTTCACTCGTAAGACTTATGAATAACTCGCCAGAATGTAATTTCTAAATTATTAATAAAGATTCATTCTTTGAATCTAATATACAAACCTATGAGAACGATTGGTACACTTGGGCAAAAATGTTTGCATTCTGGTGTCCATTTCTATCGAATAAACGGAAGATTATGTTTTACTCCTATCAATGAAGAATTTTTTAAAATATACTTCCGGAATATTTTCAAGACTATCTGGACTGTCAATAGCAAAACACATAAGTATAACATCCGTATCTGGATAAGAAAGCGGTCGTAATCGATCATAATCTTCTTGTCCAGCTGTGTCCCATAAGGCTAATTCAATCTAATATTTAAAAAAAGAACAGAAAAGATACTCATGAATTTAATACGAAAAATAATTACTGACTTGTTTTCCATCAATTTCAATATCTGATACATAATTTTCAAATACAGTTGGAACATATACTTCCGGAAATTGATCTTTACTGAATACAATCAATAAACATGTTTTTCCTACGGGTAAATAAAATTATTTTTTCAAGTAAATTTCTGTGTTTAAATTATTACCACAAGCGCCATCGCCTACAATAACAAGTTTTTTACGTATTGCTGCCATACTTTTTTGTCTGAAAGAAATACAGATGGTATTCAGTATAAGAACAAAATAGATAGAATTTGGACTTTATGGAACACATCTAACGACCATGATGATGATGATGATGATATTCGCCGAGCGAGCGAATGACAGAAAGAAAGAGAATAAATTCATTCTAGAAATAACAATCAATCAATGACCATATATACATATATATATATATATATATATATATCAGAATGAATAATCGGTTAATATCCTCATCAGCTTGTGATCAATTTAACCAATCATAGTATGAAAATATTTTCTCACTTTAATTATTTCTTATGATATTTGCATAGTAATATGTACCAGCTAGTTTTTAGAAAAAGTTCATTCTTATTTGGATGTCGCTAGTCGATGAATGCAATTGGAATAAAAAAGTTTATATAAACAAATCGATACGGCAGCGTTTCCGAACAAACAGGAGCCTAAAATAGAGTAAAAATGGATACTCTTTATCTATTTATTATCAATTATCTATTAGTACTTTATGTTTTAGAGTAAAGTACCACTGCTTAAAATTGTTTTGAGAAACTAATAAAAAAAGAATAATTTTCTGTCAATTGAAATATTGATGATAAAATCGGTTTGAATCAACGAATGAAACAAAACGTCTTTTGATACATCTACAATTCAAGCATGATATACACACATAAGTGGAAGACGAGTGACTTTTGACAGTATGATGAGAAATTAACGAAGTGTAGTTTTATTTTACAAAGTATCCTTAAGATAATTTGTTTTTATCTGTGAAGTACAAAACACGGTACTTCGCAAAAATTGTAAGTACTTTGGAAAGTTTGGTTTTGCTTGAAGTACTTAATGTTAGTCCGATTATCTTTTTACGTTGATTTCAAATGATGCTATTAGTTTCAATTCAACAGATAGTAATTATTATCAGTTGTAACAAACCAGCAAACATGCCAACATATTCATTCGATTTTCGTTTGCAGATAATATTTTTTTAGTGTCGAACATCAAAATGTGATGTTCTTTGTGGTAAATTGTTAAATATTTTAATAGATAACCGGAAATGAGTTGACAACACAAACTCTGCATATATTGAATTATTTTAACTAATTTTAGACTTGTCTGATTATTGACGAACTGGAATAGGAACCAATAGATTGAATCTATCAGTTTCATCGATAATCATTCAAAAGGCTTCATCTTTTTATTGATATTAACCGTTTATAGGCGCAGTTTATTTGAACATACAAATCGAGAAATAAAGAGAAAATAATTTACAATAATTAATAGTGTTACTTAATAGATATCGATAACAATGAATAAAACAACAAAAACAGCTCCTGGTCGTAGTTGAAAAATTAACAAGCCTGTAAGAAAATTTCTGAACTGCCCGAACCTTTGTTGGCGACTGCAAAATCCAGTTTTCTGTCACCATTAAAATTACCAACGGAAACGAAAAAAGGAAGAGATTCATAACGCATCGAAAATAACTTCACATCTATGAATGATCCATTGTCATATCCGAACAATATATCCATGTTGTTCATGCCATAATTAGCAACGATAATGTCGACGAATGTGCCATTATTAAAGTCTTCGACTGCAACTGCTTTTGGACGTGATTGGGAACCAATCGGAAATGTCTTTTGACTTAAAAAAGAACCACTGCCGCACCCAAGAAATACACCAACATTACCACTATCATAATTAGCAACAACAATATCAAGAATGTTGTCACTGTTGAAATCATCAACTGCAACAGCGATGGGACTAGAGCCAGTTAACAACTTCTTTTGACTAGTAAAAAAATGATTGCCATTTCTAAGAAAAATATCTATGTTGTTTGTTCCCAAATTGACAACTGCGATATCCATTTGATTATCATTGTTGAAATCTGCAATAGCAAATGATCTAGGTCGAGATACATTACCAGTTATGAGCGTATTTTCTTTAACAAATGCTTGATTGCTATATCCTAGAATTACACTTACACAGAGACTGGATACTGAGTACAATTAGTAAGTAACAAGTATTTTCACTTGTACTTGCTGTACTTGTACTTGTCCAGTCTCTGCAGTTACACTACAACCATACTCATTGGTGATAATCAAATCCAGTCGGGTGTCGTTATTAAAATCACCAGTGGCTACTGTGATTGGTGTGCTACCACTTGAATATGTCATTTGAAGTGCAAATGAGCCATCGCCATATTCCGAGAAGTACGCTTACTGTATATTGTTATCATGATTAGCGAGAGCAATATCTAAGCTGGTATCGTTGTTAAAATCACTGACAGCTACAGATATCGTCAATAACCGTGTCGAGTATGATGTTTGACTTGTACAAGAGCCATTGTCATTTCCAAGAAGTATATATATAGTATTATAAAACGTAGTAGTTACAGTGATATTCAGTCGGTGGTTGTTATTAGAATCACCAACAGCGACTGATTCTGGTCAAGTATCAGTTATATATGTCATGCGTTGGGGAAAAGCTCCAGTATCATATGGAACAAGTATATCTATATAATCACAATTATCATATGCAAAAACAATTTCAGAATGCCCATCATTATTTAATTCGCCCAAACCAACAGTCACTGGAGCGAAATATAAACTTGCATCATGGCTTGCTTGATTTTCAAACATTCCGTTTCCCTTTCCCAGTAAAGTAACAAGATTTTTAGTGCCTTGATTGGCCACTATGATATCTAATTGCTTGTTTTGATTGAAGTCATTAAGGGCTACGGAGTAAGGATGAGACTTTAAACCCGTTGAAAATGTCATCTGCTTTTCAAAACTATCATTTCCATAGCCAAGAAGAACACCTATGCTGTTAGTACCATCATTAGCAACGACAATATCTCATATTTGTTGAAATAAAAAACGGCAACACTTCTCAAGCGTGCGCCAACACTAGGTGCAAACGTAATTTCATTTTTCATGACTCCTTTATCATAACGAAGAAGAACACTAACAGTACTCTCTTCATTATTTACGATCACCACATCTGACCGTGTATCACTGTTAAAGTCACCGACAGCTAAATGATATGGATACGCTCCAGTTGGAAATGTTGTTTGACTTTGAAAAGGTCCATTACCATATTCGAGCAGTACACTCACACTATTGTCATCGTAATTGGCAACAACGATATCTAAACAGGTATCATTGTTAAAATCACCCACGGCTACACACATTGGAAAGGCGCCAGTTGAATATGCTACTCGGTTTTCCAAGTAGCCATTCCCAAATTCAAGAAGCACACTAATAGTGTTCTTACCAGGATTAGTGACGACGATGTCATTTCGGTTGTCTTTGTTGAAATTGCCAACAGCTAAATGTTTTGCAGGGGTGCCAGCTGAATATGTCGCATGCTTTACAAAAGAATCATTACTATATCCCAAAAGTACACTGACAGTGCTGTTACCAGAATTAGTGACTACAGTATCAAGTTGCCTGTCGTTGCTAAAACCGCCAACAGCTAAGTAAGATGATTTATTGTCGGTTGCATATATATTGTGTGTCAAAAGTACCATTATCAAATCCGAAAAGTATACTAACAGTATTGTCATCAAGATTAGCTACAACGATCCACTATTCTATCGTTATTAAAGTCCCCAGTAGCACAAGAGGAAGAAGTTTTGCCAGTGAAAGAGTCAATTTTTGTTGAAAAAGGTCCGTGCGATATCCGAGAAATATACTTATAGCGTTGCTATACTGATTAGTTGTCGCGATGTCCACTACGGTGTCGTTATTGAAATCACGCACCACACCACAGTTTGGATCACTGCCAATTGCATATTCTGTTTGCATTGGAAAGCCCTCATCATATCCGAGCAGAATATCTATCCTGTTTGTGTCATTGTTGATGAGAACAATGTCTAAACGATTATCTTTATTTAAGTCACATATAGCGATGGAGATTGAAGAAGAAGATTCAGTCAAATACATTATCGAACTTGCAAACGAGCCATTTCCATATCCAAGAAGTATACCTACATTGCTACTACCATTGTTGGTGGCAATGACATCCATTGAGTTGTCCTTATTAAAGCCACCAATACCAATTGAATATGGAGAAGCACTATTGAGTAAATAGACCATTTGATTTGTAAATGTTCCGTTGCCTTTCCCCAAGAAACACGCCAATACTTTTATTCTCATAGTTAGCAACGACGATATCTAAGATGAAATCGTTGTTTAAATCACTCAAGGCAATAGAGTATGAATATGAATTAGAACCAGTTGAAAGTTGCTTTTGAGTTCCAAAAATACCTTTACCATTTTCAAGCATAATACCGGCATTGTTAGTGTCAAAATTGGCAATCGCAAGATCCATACGTTTGTCCCCATTGAAATCTCCACTAACAACCATGAAAGGAAAAGAATCAAATCTTGTCGAGTATGTGCTTGGATTGGAAAAAGTTCCATTACCATATCCCAAAATAGCACTGACACTAACACTACGTGTAGCATAATTAGCAGTGGCTAAATCTGTTATTGAATCATTTTTGAGATCTGTCGCTTGAATCCAAACAACTCTGGATGATTCAATTGAAAACGCTGTTTGGTTTGCGGAGGATCCATTTTCGTATCCGAAAAGTACAATAATATCGTTTGCATCGAAATTCACAACAGCGATATCCAGTCGATTATCGTTGTTGAAGTGACCAACGGCGATCATGCACGACTCAGATCCAGAACCCGTCGAGTACGTCAGTGAATGTGTTGAACTGTTCGTACCATAACCGTAATAGACAGCTATATTGTCAGCAGCATAACCCAGCGCGAACATTCCGGCCACCGGAGCCCGTAGGATACTCCAGGAAATATGCGGGAAAGTCATCATATCCTGCAGAAAAACACGGCAAATCGCTGGAACATGCAAGCAGTATTCCGGCGTTTTCCGGCAGGAATTGATCAGAAATCACCGGAAAAAATCCGAAAATTTTTCAACCGGAATACTACTTTCACAAAATCAACGGAACCACCCGGAGCCGGCCATTTCCAGGCAGGACTGTTCGACCTGGGAATTTATCACGACAATATCTGGTCAACCATCATTGTCAAAGTCACCAATGGTCACAGATCGAGGAGTATACATAATCGTCTTCGTAGTTGTTTGTTTGAAGTTTAATTCACAATTTGGAACTATGTAAGACAAAAATATAGAAATAAAGACTGTACAGCTATTCTAGTGCAACTATTAAGAGTAAATTGTGTTAAAATTGCATAAGCACAACGAAACGTGGCTCGGAATGGTCCTATCTTGAGGGTGTGGATGTAGTTATTCGATGATAAAGAGATTACACCCACCCACACCCACACCCTGAATTGGGTAAACAACTTTGAAAGTTTCTCGAGGCCTCCATGGTTTACCATAATCGATGTTGAATCTCAGAGAAAATCTTCATATAAGAACATACAATACTTTTATATGAAATACATTCTGCCTTCATGGACGTTTGTGTACTTAATATTTTCAAAGACTTTAGAAGAAATTAAAGTAATTATTTAAAAAAAAAAATTATTCCATTAGATGGAACAGTTTTAGTCATAACATGTACTTTAGTGTCATATATCCCGAAATCTCTAAATAAAGGGCATCAAAAGAGCTAACCATTATTATTTTCGCTCAGATACTTATTTTTGATAGTTTTAAGATTTGTCTGGTGAGATAACTAGATCCATTTCAGAATCATCCGTTTTAAGTGTGCTGAATTCAACAAGAGAAAATGGTGAATTTCCAACATCACGAATCTCTGAGAGTAAAAAAATCCATCATTTCGTCCTTAAATGAGAGTCGTCCATCGTGTTTTTAACTGAATTCGATTCATCTGTTATTTTATTTATACATCAATCATTTTAGAATATCATACACAAAACAAAGCAATGTCAACAAAATAAAGAAAAATAGTTATGATAAATATTAAAATATTCTAACTATACAAAGAAAAACAGAAAATAAAACAAATATAATTAAAAGTTACTACCAATTCCTCTTTTTCGTTTTGTAATTGTTGTTGTTATAACAGATGTTGTTGGCCGTTTCTTGTCATTCATTGAACGATCAGTAAAATCTAACGAAAAATCTATTTCATGTTCACTATCTGATGAATGTTGTATTGCATCTTTTCGCTTGATTTCATCACATTGACTTCCAAAACGTTGTAAAATACGTAATAAACGATTAAAATCATGTTTTCGATATAGTTCTTCGGTTATTTCATGTATATATTTGATCATTTTTTCTTTTGATCGACTAAAAATTACAAAATAATATAATTTTTTCAAGATGATTGTTTTTTCCGAATACTTACGGCATTAATTTAGCTAAGTCTTTGATTGTTTGTTCTGAAATAACATTTGAATACGACGAACTACCAAAAATAACTTTCAATTCTTTTTTTAATTCAATAAAACATTGTTCATTAATTTGTTCAATAGATTTTTCTTTTGAATTTGATCTTTCTTCATCGGCATTCGTATTTATTTGTTCAATTCGAATTATTAATTCAATTTGAATTTTACTCGTATTTGTAGATCGTTGCGAATTTGAAGAAGCTAACTGAAGTGCGTTAACACCCGGACGTAAATAAGCCACAATCGACGATGTTTGTTGATCAAGAAATTCTTGTTTAAGATAACCATCAATAATAAGACGAGTGACAAGCCGTTCAAGATCTATGACCAATGAAGAATATTAAAAGCAAATCGTGTCTTATAGAACCGCTGAAATTCTGGAATTAAAAAAACTCAACGTGTCGTCCTATGTTTCTTGTACGAAACAGAGTCCGTATCAAATCACTGTATCCTTATGAATTTTCTTGAATTTAGAGTCGAATTTGAATAAAATCTATTTTCGGAACATTATCATCTAGACTGAACCGAGTGAAACAACATTGAAAGAGCCATCTTTCGATATGTATAAGACTTGAAATGTTAGTCTTAATGTTGTATGACTTTTCACAGCTGAGTCTATCATTCCCATTGTGTTCTTACCAAGTCGAGTTAATTGATGGCATGAGTTAAATGCACGTAGACGATGGTGACCTGCATCTCGAATAGTTTTACTATTAACGCCACGTAATATATCAATAATATAGGATAATGTTGTATTTGTTTGATTTAAATCCGAAACTAGTTTTAAAATTTCAATTGAAATTCGTGTACAATCAATAGATGATGTTTTGTACACTTGTCGACAATTATCACATTCCGTTGACATGACACTTTTACATTCCGATGATGAAAATATTTCACCAAAGTATTCTAAAAGTCTATGATAAAAATTTCAAATCCTTTTCTCTTGGAATATTCTAATAAATTCTCATACTGCGTTCGTCGACATATGACATTGTTAAGACAATAATCATAAACACGATTAATATTATTAATACGAACTTGTTTTGTTTGCATTGGCGATTTCGATTCATCATCATCTTACAGAGAGAGAAAATGCGTTTGATCATAAATTTTTCATCACGAGAAAATTTCATACTTAATATAAGCCGTTTCATTTTCAGAAAATCATCATAACAATAGAAAAGATGACAATTAGCAATTTCACCATCGCGTCCAGCTCGACCGGATTCTTGATAATAACCCTGATAAAGAAAATCATCAGTATATTTTATTTTCATAATTAAATAAAAAAAGAATTTGATTCAACCTCAATTGATTGTGGCATAGAAAAATGAATAATAAAACGAACGTTATTTTTATCAATACCCATACCGAATGCAACTGTTGCACAAATAACCTGATAAAGAAAAACAAAAGTAGTATATTACTTCCAATGGTCTATTGATTATTTTTTTTTATCAAATCCTTTACTTGACATTCATCATTAATCCATTTCATATGTATTGTTTGTCGTAAAGAATCGTTTAAACCAGCATGATAGGAAAGTGCATGAATATTACTAGCCAATAAATATTGAGCTAGAATAGTGTTTATCTTGAAGAATTTTATTTTCAATGAATTTTTTCTCTAGCTACCTGCTCGATCGCATTCAGCACGTGAGAAACAATAAATAATACCAGATTGATTTTGATAATTAATCTTAATTAAATTTGATATTTGACTCAATGTTAAATCGTTATTTTCTTTTTGTATACATTCATAAATAAGATTCGACCGGTTAAATGATTGAGTGTACAATTTGTAATTTCTTGTTATATGCAGTTGCTGTAGAATATCTTGTTGTACACGTAATGTTGCTGTTGCTGTTAATAATGTTATATTGATGTCCGGATAATTAATTCGTAATTGACCTTAAATGAACGAAATACAGTTTGTTAGAAAATAATAAATTCTAATACAAATACCAAGTTGTGAATAATCGCGACGAAAATCATGACCTAAAAATATTCAAATTTAAGACATCTCAATCGATTAATCAAAGGTAATAATATTCGAGAGAAAATCCTATCCTGAAAAAGAGACTAATTCTATTGTCTGCCCCTATCTGGAGAAAAATGTTGGAGAATGTCTATGTCTCGGATTTGAAATGTTTTTCAATACTCCTCTTGGCTCCAAGTATTAGCGCCCTGCTATCTAAATTTCACTACCCATTCTTTAAAAACCTCGCTGTACTCATTACTTATTGTTTTGGAGAAAAACATATATAGAACATACCCCATTCTGAAACACAATGACATTCATCAATCACAAATCGAGCTAAAAGTTGACGATTATACAAATCTCGAAGAGCCGTATTCAATTGATCCTATTTGAAGAAAACGAAATCTATTTTTTGTTTTTATTGACATAGAATATTCGTTTACGCTCATAGAAATTTTTTCCGGTGTTATAAAAACAATTTTAAAGGCTGGCGAATCTTTATATAATTCACGATAGATTTCATCGGCTTCTTCATGTGATATGTTTCCTGTTAACGATGCACATGAGATGCCCAATGATTTTAATCGTTGTTTCTGATCAAATATAAGTGAACGTAATGGTGCAACAACGAATGTAACGCCATTATCAATGACAGCTGGTAATTGATAACATAACGATTTACCACCACCTTTAAAAAGAAAAATAAAGAATTTTCACCTTGATCATACTGAAATGTTTCTAACCTGTTGGCATAAGTATAAAACAATCGTGATGTTGAAGAGCAGCATTAATCGCTTCCCACTGATTTTCTCGAAACTAAAATCTTAACTATTATCGATTATTTACTTAAATAAATATACGCACTTCTGTAAGTTGAAAAACATGACCAAAAACATCAAGAATTTTACTTTCATAATTCAATGCATGCTTTTCAAATTTTTCATTGGCCGTTTTCTGACTAGAACCTTTATGATTCAATAGTAGATTTGTAATAGGTGATAATTTTGTATTATTATTATTTTTCTAAATAGAATTCTAATGTAGAGAAAAAATCGTTTTGGCTATTTTGTTTTCGAAATTACCTCTTGACATTTTTTACATTGTATACAGCCGAATTGGTTCGTATTAAGAACGAAACATTGATAACATATTATATGTCCACATGAAATTTCACCAATAGGCCGATGACAAGTCATTTGATAGATTTCATTACAAATTGGACATGAGCATCCAGCTAAAACAAAAACGTTCATAAAGACACCAACATCATTTCTATTTAAATAACAAAAATCTATACCTAAACTTTGAGCATTGATAGGATTAACGGTTTTTTTTGTAGTAGTGGTTGTTGTCGTTGTAGTAGTGATTGTGCTAACAATTGTATTCGATGTATCATTCGGTGTTGTTGACATCTTTTGAGAGCCAGAAGTAGAAGATTTATGCTCTGCCATTCTAAATATAGAACAATTCAAGAAATGAATTGATGAATGATTTTGTATTTCTACATTGATAATGTATTTGGTTTAGTTAAGTTTGTTTGTTTGTTTTGTATAGAAGTTTGATAAATTTTTATTTGTTCGGATAAATTATTTTTAATCGGAGGAATATGATCGTATTTGGTAGTTTTATTGACCGAATTTATTAGCATCTATAATGAAGACAACGGTTGAACTAAACATGTGTTAGAGAGAAATAAAAAACGACTGAACACGAACGACAAATATATTCAATCGAGAGATAAATAATCGAGGTATACGAAAAAGATGAACACATTAAGAACACGTGTGTTCCATCTACCGCTTGATTACGTTATTTTTGACAGTTTTTCGTATATATAGTTCATTGTATTTGTGCAAAACAACCGCGACTTTTTATTTTCATATTTTCGTATAGACCCTGGGATGCCAACTGTGCCCCATTTAGACTTTTGAGTCTACGACAAATCTTCTAATGAAAATAACCTATCTTCTTCTAGACTTTTCTCATTTTCATAAAGAAATGCATAATAAAATGTGCTGGTAAATAATTGGCCAATAGATATTAGCACCCATTTCGTTTAATTTCGTCTTTAATTATTCGGTTTACATACTGTTTTCACTATGAATAATGAAATAAATTTTATTGAATTTTTTCCTTTTCTCCTTTCCCATCGTTTCATTACTTTTTTCAATTAAGTTTGATAAATACATATTGTCTCAAAAATGAATCGAGTTTTAGACTTTCCCTTCAATGTATTTGGTTTCATTGATAATTTTCGCATGGCATTGAACAAAGATTATGAAGCTGAAATTTCTGACGATTCAGAAGCAACAACAAGTGAAAAATTTCCCAGTTTCCGAGACAAGCCAACTACTAATATCAAAGAAAAAAATGTTCATCAAAGTCAAAAAGGCGTTGTATGTTCAACCAAAGCTGGTTGAAAGATCCTAAATATATAGCATTTCTCAGAGAATGTCGAATTAATAAATATTTTGCTCATTGTTCTATATGTAAATCAGACTTTTGTGAAACAAGACCTGAAAGGAGTGTTGGTGTTTAGAGTAGAAATTTGCCCCCGCCCCCCCACACACACAGATCGTTACCGACAGGCAATTTTCCCATCACAGAACGCGACAGAGGGTCTTCAGAAATGACTACAGATTTTTGGCATATGCTTTAATTAATTGGCTAATTAATAGCATATGAATTGAGCGCCCATCACAGACTGTTACACAAGATCTTCAGAGGCCATCATACAACGTGACAGACTATCTTCAGATCAAGCACAGTCCATCAGAGACGCTATTCCAGCCTAGTGCAAATCGTCACTGGTAGCGCCAAACGACTTGTCTCACCAAATCTACAAAGAACTTCCTTTAATACACCATCTCTACGTAATTTTCTGCAGTGATTGTGTCGTATTTCACATTTTTAATCCCAGAGGGATTACGCTAACAGCTTTTCTATTTCTAATGGTGGTATTTATTTGATCGGTTTTCTCAATTAAATCATCTATTTTAGGAGGCAGACAATGTACCCCAAATGCACCCTATTTGGACTTTCAAAAACCACATTTGAAAAATGAGAAATAGCAGCCCTGGATAGATCACCACTTACTCTATCAAACTAAGTAGCCTTTATTTTATATCTTGTCCAAATATTTGATAAAATCCGAGAACCACTAATGTTTTAGTAATAGTGAAAATGGTTTCAAACGACAAAAAACAATTAATTGCAATCAAACAGCACATATTTGGTATACACATGAAGAACCAAATTCGTGCCAGTTTTTGGAAAAATATACTTTCATGATTCGACGAAACTGAATAGAGTAATTGTTGTTCTATCCAACTGTGCCAAAAACGGAAAACACTCGAGATTCTATACAAATACAGCAAACAATACAAAATTGACTCCGATATGTTTTACACGGGGCATTTGAAATAATGATATGATTGATATAGTTCTTTTTATGAGGATGTACCTGGATTTACATTTGAGAAAAGTCTTGAATATTTTCCATGAAATAAAAATCTGTTTAAGTTTTTTTTCGAAATGAATTTCATTTATAACGTTTAGATCTTGTTGTAGTATTAATCTGTATTCATAGAAGTTCGTTTATTGTTCAAGATATGATTAACCAAAAAACGAGCTTTGCTTCACCGAAGAAGAAGAAGAATAAATCCTAGTTTCTCACCATACTCCATTTTCAACCAACTATAAGTTTATTTGAGGGCCGTTGCCGCGCAACAGACAGATAAAAAACACCTTATGCCAATTTTTCTTTCTTTTCTATTCTTTTTGCAACTTGTTCCTTCTTTTTTTTTCATATTGAACAATATCAATAATGGTGAAGTTAACAGCTGATCTCATTGCTAAACAAGCACTTGGTCATAATAAACGACGTGCTGACGAATCTGTTGAACATTATCTTTCACGTCTCACACATTTACCATTTCAAAATCGAGGCATCGATTCCATTGTAATGATTTTTAAGGTGTACTTCTCATATACTTATATATTCTTTAGGATCCTATCCCGCCTTGTCGTCAACTAACAGTGATCTACCTTTATGATAATACATTGAGTAAACTTGAAAATTTTAATTTCGCTGAAAATTTAACACATCTCTACTTACAAAATAATCGTTTACAAAAACTTGAACATTTCGATGGTTGCCCTAAATTACAAAAATTATATCTTGGCGGTAATCAAATTCAAGTTATTGAAGGTCTTGATAGATGTATGAATCTAAAAGAAATTTACATTGAAAATCAACGTTTACCCGAAGGTGAAAAACTTGTTTTCGATCCACGAACTTTACAATGTTTAGCAAGAGTTCTTGGTAAAATATTTTTAAAATCAAAAGAAAAAGTACACAAACGACTCTCTATTTTTAGAAAATATAAATGTTAGTGGCAATAATCTAGATTCATTAGTAGAATTGAGTTGTTTAGAAAAATTAGAAGAATTAACAGCCAGCAATAATAATTTAGAAAATCTTCGTGAACTCATTCAACTTTTGAGTGTATGGCCACGTTTAAAACGACTTGATACAAGTCGAAATCCAATGTGTACAAAAGCACGTTATCGCGAACGATTGATTGTTGTATCAACAGCATTAGGTAAAATGGAATTTTTCGGGCATATAATTATTTTTCTATTAAATGAATTCATAGAAATGCTTGATGGAAAACAAATCACAGATAATTCTCGACAATTTTTAATGAGCTGGAAAGCTTCACGTGAGGCTCAACAAATAAGAGAAAAATCAAAAGCAGATCTTTACGAGGGATCCGGAGATTATACAAACAATGGTAGTAAGTAAATCGAAGAATTAAATAACAATTGAGAATATTATAGATAGAAATAGATAATCTCAGTTATTGCATATAATTATAAATATATATATATGTATATGTGTATGTATGTATATCATTAGCTTCTGTCTTTCTCCCGACTATTCGCCCGAACGTTGCGCGAGCTCGATCAATGGCAATACATCAAATGCCAGGTCGGTACCTTTGCTACCGTATCGCTTGACGAATGGCATTCTTTTACTTTGCTTTCTGTGTGGTTTGAACTGAATTATTATCTTGTTTTCTATAAAAGCAAATATTATGTTTTAGCATTTCCTCGTCAAAATTCAGTCCGAATTGGTATTTTTATCGCTTGAATTTGATAAACTATCTTCTCTACCATTTGAATTGCTTGTTTTCTTGACTGATAAACTAATTAAATTCTATGATTTATCATATTCACCAGATTACTGAAAAATCTTGAGTGTTCTTTCTCCCGAATATGATAATAGCATGCATACGTACAGGTATTTTGCATAATTGTTGAAATATCTTTAGTTTGCTTCTTACTCACACCATAATAGTCTTCTCTTTCATGATTAAACTTAGTATAGATTCATCAAAACAAGTTTATTACAAATAGAGTTCGTGTCTATGGCGTATTTCTAAAACGATCGAACTTTGACTTTTAATGAATTTTCACTTAAAAAAAACAACAACAACCACTCATATCACTGTATGTCTCTGATGAATACATAAAATCGTTTAGAGATATTATTTTGTTTTCTAAAACTATTACCAATCACTAAAAGGACCGATCTCCTTGGAAACCGGCCATAAAAAAAGAACTTTTTTTTTTATGACAGACAGTACACTAGAGGCAACACGGACTAAAATGCTCTACGAGTTTTTGCTAGACATCTTAGGCGAATGATTAAATTCTATTTGCATGTATTTTCATAGATTATCGTCGTAGTATAGTGAAAGCTGATCTTGGTTTAGTGAAAAAGGGTCAATTTCCAATGGCACTGGTAGAAAATGCTCACCGGTTAGTTTATTGAAATTGTTCTATGTGAAGAAAAATAAATAAATAACTTTTTTTGTTTTATAGAAAAATGACGCCGAGAACAAATAAATTTTCAGGCTTTTTTGCTTCGAATAGTTTTCATAATCCTGAACCAAATAATTCACATCCGAATCCGATTATAACTTTTCAAGATCCATCAACAAAAACATTTTTCAAATGATTGTTATTCTTGCTTTCATTGTTACGAGCTGATGACAGGATGAAATTTATCGGCTAGAGATGCTTATTAAAATGAATGTGATTATCTTATTTCTTTATTTGTTTTGTCAATAAAAACAAAAGTTTTATTTTCAAAATTTCCTGGCAATCAATGGAATAATTACGATCATTCAGATATACTCTTGACATCTACTAATTACTGACACCAACAGTGCTTCAGTTCAGAATGAAGGCATGATCAATTAAGCTCATTCTAATCGATGAAAATAGTTACTTGAGCTCGAATGATGTTACTACACCCTGGCGATGCATCTATTTTCATTTTCAAAAGATCTATTGTATTTGACAGGTAGGTTGCAGGTGTTTAGATAGCTTATTAGAAGAAGAAAACTAACGTAAGTTATGAGATAAAATACATAAAAGAATGTCCTCACTGAACACAAAAGCAATAAGAAATAGGATTATGTTTTCTCAAACAATGCAACTTATTCTTGGAATAGAATTATTTCTTTTTACTACTCTACAAATGAAAACAAACAAAAGGAAAATGCAATATGTACGCATGTTAAGCATGCAGCCATTTGTTGTACGTTGACGACATCGAAAAAATCAAGGTTTGTGTTTTTACTCAATGACAGAATCCGAATGCTTTCAATGCCTTATGAGTCACTATAATAAAAATATATATTTTTTATGAGAGAATCTTAATTGTCTAGTATATAGAAGTATTCATTTACCTTCTGAAAGAAAACAAAGTAACGCCAACGAATCCGTTCATAATTGTAAGACAGTGCACGCTCCTTGGCACGCCAATGATGTCATTTATTATAATTTGAAAGTATAGTTAATCAGAAAAATATACGAGTTCATTATATAATTATATAGATATATCTATATTTTTGACATGAATTATATTGCTGTGTTAACGGCGTAGATAGTCGTATGATCTTGGATAAATTGTACGCGGCACTTGGAATATGAAATATATGCGAAGTATGTCTCTGTGTTTATTAATTTTCTTTCTTTTTTTCCCATCCATTTACTTGTCTCCTATATATAAAGCAAAAGACATAAGAAAACATAAGATAAAAAAAAAGACTTATCGTCACTTCTATTACTCTCAGGACATTAACAACAGAGAAGGTATTTGCAAACGTAAAGGACTTAATATATATATATATATATATTTATATATCATTCTATTCCTCGTCATCGGATCAAGTAAAATATTCATTTAACAAAATATTTCTATCAACAAAGGTATAGTCAAATATTTTATTTCTCATTACACTTTTCGATCTGAAAGAGAGAAAAAGAAATAAAGAAATTTTAAGGAAAATATAAGTTCTACTGTTGCCGTTTGCATATAAGTTTGTCGAAGTGTTGACAAAAAACGTTGTTTATTATAGCTATTAGGATAGAGTTGCAGATTATTTTCCTTATAGAGTCTTCGGGGGTAATTCGGATCACAAATAGCGAAATCAAGCTGCCGTCTATCGCATCACTTGGGATAATTCAGATCACCGTAATATAAACCATTACAATCGTTTTTTTCTTATCGTTTTGCTGATTATTACTTTTTGCATAAAATAAAAAGAATTCAGCATTCGTTAAACTGTGGTATTTTTTATTTTGATCAGAAATTGTGATAGAATATTCAACGGAAATGTCACCTCTGACAGTCACTTTTCATAACATTAAGAGTTCGACTAGGTTAGTTTCGATTAGTACACCAATTTCTCCTGAGGCAGCTCAGATCATCCCGATCTATTTTATCTACCGAGGAAGTTACAAAAACTCAACCATATTTCTAATATAGGAATGCCTAATAAATCGCAAAGAAAATCCATTCCACTATTTTTTCTCCCTATCAATAGAAACTACCGCAACCTTTTATGGGACCGATCAAAGTATTATGCCGCAAAACAAAATACGAGAGAAAAATGTCTTATTTTACGATATACTCCTACGAACTGTGATAACTTATTTTAAGTCTATAATGGACTTCAGCAGGAAAAGCAGTTAGGTGTCTCCCTGTGCTAAAAACGTAGTATGAATAAATATATATATGAGTATGCTGAGCACTACATAATCCGAAATCCATTTCAAGTAATTAAATGAATTATAAATCTTTTCCTAGTATCGCCCTTGAAACTGAACCGACAGTGGGTACCTATCGGCTAATTAATAGACAGCTATTAAAGACAATTTACACTCATGAAAATTTGTTTTGAGCAAATCCAACTTCGAAGAGTGTTAGACTTGGAGTTTTTGACAAACACAACTTCCAATGCATACAAGTAGATCTGAAGTGTCCTTGTTGTTGATCGAAATAGACTAAATATCCGGTAAAAAAACACAAATAAATCCATGCCTCAATGATAATCTCTTGGAGATTTCTTTTGATGATTAGTAATTTTTCATAGATATTTATCCATCAGTTTACAGGGTAATTTAATTTTTCGGAGATCTCTTCGGGCTTTCAAAATCTATGGTAGAACTGAAATATTTTGTAGAAAAATCAGACAAGAACACTTTTTTTCTTTGTAGTTCTTTGCCAAGAAGAATATTTGATGGAACACATGGAATGGCAAGTGAATCTTAATAGTGAGAAAAAGAGGAATAATTTTTTCTCTCAGATTAACTACTCAATGTTGACGATGAAAACAGTAGGGGTTTCAATTTAGTACTCAATACCTAAATTAGCTGGAGCGATTCAAATTACTTCACAGAAACTCGCTAATGAAAAATGGCTAATAGAAGTGTCATTGCTGTAAATATTATATTATATCACCGTTCTACATTCATTCATTGAATTGTTTTCCGATCATATAGACTATAGAATAGGCCTACGTTATTTTCTAAGAACTACAGACTTAGATAAGATCCTTTTCCGAGTGGGCTATGTCAGAATGGCCCCAATTACTATACCCGGCTTGACTGGCTAACATTTTTAACGTTGAGACCCCCTTTTTTTTACCAGTAGGCGCTGTTTTGAAAAAATTTCTTTTTTTACGAGAGATCGAATTTAGTTTAATCCAAATACTGTATTTAGGTTCATTCCATCAGAAACCACCATGCCCATCCGGGCGACCAAGCCAAAATCCATTCAAAGTTCCCGGATCTGTAGAGGACTTTTCGCTGATCATTTTGATAATAAAATTTTCGAAACAAATTCTATTTTCGCGAAGATGAAGGTCAAATACAAAAAGTACACTTTTCTT